CAAAATGCTGATTAGTTAGAGCGTATTTGCATATAATAGCTGTTTTTATTTTATCTTTAGATTGCTAATTAATTATATGACCTAAAACTAAAAGATTGAATTGTTAACAGAACTAGATGAAATTAATGAAATTAATTCATTTGATCAAAAAAAAATATTTCCAACATATCGATACTTATATTCATAACGACGAAGTGTTCATATTTTAGAAAAATCAGCAAACTCATGCACCTAATAATTATTTTTGTTCCTACACACTTGCATCTGTTTCTACCATCTTGTCACCATCGTTACTATTGCTTGATTAATATTTGTCCTGACAATAATATTTGCATTTCCTTTAACATTGTGTATTTATTGCTCAAATAAATTTTACTGAAGTATTCGACACATAAGTATCTAAGACAACTATAGGTTGGTTTGTTTTTCTCTTTCTCCGACTTATTCTGGTAAATGAGTTTTGAAAATTTTTTTTTTGAACGATTCCATGTCATGCGTCTGCGTGTATGTTTTAGTTCTTTTTTACCATTTATACCCTAAATTGGAAGCGATGTTAGCAATAATGATGACGTTTATATAAGAAAAAAAAAATATAGAAAAAAAATCGGCCCATAAAAGTAAGAAATAGACAAAAAAGAAAAGCTCCATTTGCTTTGTTTTTTTTTCTTATTGAAATTTAAGACGAATAATACAATAAATTTTAGTGTAAATAATGGCACAACCATGGCAAGGTGATTATTTTTCTATTCGTATTATCTTTTATATTTTATTATCTGATTTTAGTTGGAATATTCGGGTGTTTTGAAGACATTCCAACATGTTTACTTGGTTGGTGTTGTTCATGTTATTTATTTGGTCGTAATGCTGAACAAATTGATGGATCAAATAAAATTCACATGTGTATTGGATATGCATGCTTATCCGGTTGTTATCTTTGTTGTATACTTCATAAACCACGGCGAGAAAAACTTCGTGCAGCATATAATCTTATTGAAAAACCAAGTGATTTTCTTGCTACATGCTGTTGTAGTGGTTGTGCTAATTGTCAAGAAGCAAGAGAAATGCAATTACGAGGTTTGCAATTGGGATTCATTTCGAATTTTTAGTTGTTCTTTTTTTTTTCTTTGTCTATTTTATTTATTTTTAGGTATCCAACCTGGTATGCGTGTTCCGATAGCTTCTCAACCACATTAAATACAAAAATTATTATTTATAAATAACAATTAGAAACAAAACAGAACTTATAACAGCCATCAATGTTGTGTTTCATTGTTGTTTGTATTTTATTCTACTCCGTGATTTTTCTTTTATTGTTGTCTGCAAAGTGATTTGACTACTAAAAAAAACATTACGAAGATGATGTTTAATAAAATAAGTTATAATTCAGTTGATAATGTATTATTCAATAAAAAGAAAATTAATGGAAATATATTCAACAAAAAAGAAAGAGAAGAATAAAATGCATACTTTATGTATAAATAAGTTTATTCAAAGTATAGGATATTATATCACACTAATTTTTTTTATGTAAAATCTTATAAATAAATACTAACAAGTGATATATCTCTCATTGTTGATTTCTCTTGTCTGTGCACTTCTTTTCAAGCTTTCTCTAACATTTATGAATAGGAGTGTTATAGAAAAAATATATATATAAGTTAATGGTCTTTTTAATAAACAATGTACATAACAATAACGCATTATATTGAAATATTACTGCAACAATTTTAAGAAAAATAGCTCTTAATAAATGATGAAAATTTCTAAATAGAAAAAAAAACATAGGCAACTCAGTTGAAATGAAAAGAAAAATGGTAGTTCTGTTTGTCCATTAGTGATATCTTGTTGTTTTAAAACACATGTACTGTCTGAAATATTCAAATTATTAAAATATACATTTCGACAATAATACTTATCGGTTTCTTAATTGAGAAAATATATAGATAAGTTCATAGGTATCTAAACACTTTTTTGAAAAAGGTTTTTTTTTTATGGGCTTTTGTCATGCTAGTTAGGTAAGAAATAATCAGAGAACAACTTGGACCGAAAAATTTGTCAACTGTGGTTTGGAATGACACAAATTTGGAACATTTTTTATGAACGTCAAAACAAGATCCTACTAATGATATCAAATTTTTGAGTTCCCATTTTGCCCATAAATAAAGAATCATTAGACTAGTGCAATTTTTGAAGGATTCTTCTTATTATCGAAATTTGACTGAGATATCAATGTTTTAAAACACAGAAGTTTTTCATGTTTTTATAATTTATGCTCCGCTTTGAAACATTGATACGTCGATCAAATCTCAATAAAAAGAAGAATCCTTTAGAAATTGTACTAGTCTAATGGTCCTTTATTTATGAACGAAATAGAAGGTCAAAAACTTGAAATCATTGATATGATCTTCGTTAGACATCCATAGAAAATATTCCAAATCTCTACCATTTCAGATAAAAGTCGACAAATTTTTCAGTAGAAGTTGTTTTCTAACTACTGCACACCTAACTAGCACGATAAAGCCGATAAAAAAAAGCGTTTTTCAGAAAAGCAGTTGGCTACTCATGAATTCATTCATATCTATTATCTGAATTCTTTATAAATTCAAAGAAATTATCTGATTATTTTCAAAAAGAACTATTAGCTCAATCCCTACAAGATTAAATGTCAATCATGATTTAGCTGCTGTTGATAAGCATAGGACGATAGTGTAACCCAAGCTATGTTAGGACACATCTCTTCGCCATTCTTTTACGTAGCCCTTCAGAAATGCAATAAGGAAATAGTTACTGAGGTATCTGTCATGGTCAATTGGCCATGTCTGTTATGACTTGTGGAAGGTTCAAATTTTTACTTGCATACTACAATACTCCTTTTAGATCGTGTTTCACAAAATAAAAAAACACATATAGACAATGGCAGTATATGGTAGTATGAATATACTATTACCATTGATTCTTAATAATGATTCTTCTACAGAAAAAGTGGATAATAGTATATAGGCAGCGAAAAGAAATAACATCATATATTTAAAATGATTGATAAGAACTCATTGACTACAACAAGAATTTCGATTTATTATCGATTGTTTTCTTGTCAACAGCTTAAAATTCTTGAGAGAAACTAATGAATATCTATGATTAATATATTTTATATACTTAACCTATATATCATAGTGATGTATGGTGATTAGTCAAGTTTGGCATATAAAAAAAAAGGAAGAAGAACACTGTAGATAATATATGATAATAACTAAATCTATGAAACAAAGTAAATCTAATATTTCGTTAATTGTTTAGTTAATAATTATGAAATGTTCGTCAAATATTTCAAATGTCTTTTTTTCGAAATAGTCTGATTAGAACCTAACTAATATTGTACGTTAATAAAATCCCAATAAACCTTTTATCTGTTAATATTAGTAAATAAATTATAGTTTGAATTTAACGCAGAGAAAGACGAACAAAATATTTTGAAAAGAAAATCGAAGATAAAATATTACAATGTTCACAAGCGAGTTACACTTTCATTTGAAGCAGTTTCAGAATTATTCTCTTGTTTTTCATCTGAAGTCCTGAATTGATTATTGAATAAATCACGAACATGTGGTCGTGATACATATTCTTCAGGTTTTGTTATTGTTGCAAATTCACCCATATATTCCGCTGATTTATTATATGCACCACTGAAATTTGCAGAAGTTAATGGACCTGAATGAAGATTAGGATCATTGGTATTTGAAAATGTATGAGAAGTATTTGAAGGATCATCTATTGATGATGTAGATGTTAATTTTTCTCCATCTGGTAATGATGAACGTCTCCAGGGACAAATTCGTTCAGCAGCCGTAGCTCCATCCATTTTTACAGTATCATCTATTTTAAAAAATAAAAATTCGATAAAGAAATTTTTCTTGGAAAAGAATACCTTCACTTTCAATAACAATTGAGACAGGAGGAATTGGTTGATCAATGTCTTTTGTTTCAGCTAAAAAGAAAATGAAATAGAAAATTTTTAAATTATATATTAATAGACATACATAGTGATTTTATTGGTTGATCGGATGAAAGTGGTGGACTTTTGCTTCTTGATTTCGATTTTTGTTGTTGTTGTCGTTGTTTAGGAGAATTTGTAGATTTAAAACTTTCTCGTTTATATGATGGTATTAATGAATGTTTAGATGAACGTGAATCATGATCAGCTTGAGTTGATGATGCTGCTTTTGCACCGGTTAAACGATTAGTACCACTACTACTTCTACCAGTTTTACGTCCATGCAATTGTTCCTTATCAAGTCTTGGTGGTATATATATATGATTACGGTGATGATAAGATTTTTCAAAACGATTGTTTGTTTCATTATTTGTATCGGCCATTTCATCTTTACTTCGAACATGAATAGTTGCCTAAAATAGTATATTTTCTTTAATCAATAGAATTTATTTTTATTGTTTTTAAATGAGAATGAATGAATTAAATCAAAGCATTGATATTTTGATACATTATTCATTTGAATTTAAATGACTTTTCGCTTCCCTCATCAATGTATCTGTTGAACGGACGAAAATGAAAAATTTTATAGGATTTACAATCAATTCATAGGTATGAGAAAATTCGCTTCTGATGAGATGTAGATGTAGATGGGTGTGAATATGGGTGATTCATGTTCCACTGCGCAAACCCACAACTACACCCACACGGTTTCTTTATTCTACCATGCACATTTCCCTAACGCAAAAGAAATTAGTTGATCGAATTTGCCTTCAAAGTCACTTTCGATATTGACTTTTCGAATATCTTCTATAATGTTGGAAATGGCAAAGAATAACTATAAAGTGTGCGACCTAATTTTAGCCTACTTTATATATATATATAAAGTAGGCTAAAATTATGTCGCACACTTTAGATTCACTTATTCACACGAAATATATATTCTAAAGCACCCGTATTGGTTCCAAAGGACAAATATTTTGTTTTTCTTTCTTATCAGTAATCGTTTGCTTATGATACAATTTTAGAAATTATATATATGAAACATAAGATAACGATAAGAAATCCCAGAAACAATTGCTTACTCTTGGTCTTGCACGATAAAGATTTGTATCAAGAAAATGATGCATTTGTGCATCATCATGATAATGTTCAGTTCCTTGACTTTCAAAAAACATTAAATCAGGTACAGTTTGTTCTGGTAAACTAGAATATGATATAAAATCAAGAAAATTTAAAATTTAAATAAATAGAAAATAGAACAAACTTGGCAGCTAATAATTGTGAAAAATTTGCAAATGTACTTGAAGGTCTTAAATTAGCTCCTGATGGTGATGTATGAATAGTTGTTGATGATGGTGTTGGTACAAGTCCTTTTGATGTATCATGAACTTTCATAGCTGATTGCATATTTATTTTTTTAAATGTTTGTAATAATTTAATATCCATTTTTTCTTGTGGTGTTTCACGTAATAACCAACGTTTAAAATAATTTCGATCAAGATTTCGACATCTAAAAATATTTTTGTTTTTTCGAAAACAGAAAAATTTTTTTTCAATTTTCTTTTTTTAATCGTCATACTTATCACGTAATGAATTACTTCCACCACTACCAGATATTTCTTCAAGACAAGTCATTACATGATCCATCATCTTTATATGAAATAATTTAATTGAAATTAAAAAAACAAAAATAATTAAAATAAAATTTTTTAGGTTTTTTTACTCGATTTGTTAATTTAGCTGACATTGTTGGTTCTTCAATTTGTTTTCGTCGTACATTAAGACATTTAACAAGTGGACCAATAGTAATACCCTAAATAAACATATTAAAAGAAACATATCACCTTTGATTTTTTATATTTTACTTGAAGAAAAACAGTAAAAAAGACAACAGCAATTGTTGCTGTAACAAATTCTTTTTTTCTTGGTATTTTTGTTTCATCAAGAATAAGAGCAAGAGCAAATGCAATAGCACCACGTAAACCACCATAAGACATAATTAACATATCAATACGTGTTAATTCAAGTAGACGCCAACAATTAGCTAAATTAGCAAATATTGCAATACCTTAATAAACGATAAAAAAATAAAACCAATAAATAAGATTGTTTTATAATGAAAACAAAAGAAATTTTCATTACCAATAACTCGGAAGACAAGACATGCTAGTAATGTAATAAGGACAAAGCCTGTATTCCATGAATGATGATCACTAACTGTTGATAAACCCATAAACATAAATATAATTGTTTCCATAATACTTGATAACATTTTAAGAACATATTCTGTTGTAGCATCAGATTTTTTTGAAATATTAAATGAAACATATTGTTTCATAACCATACCACAAAATGTTATACTAAAATATAAAAAAAAGATGAAATAATTTTATTTATAAATTTGAAAAGAATACATACGCTAAAATGCCCGAAACTGAAACCATTTCTGATGTAAGATAAGCCAAATAAGCATAAACAAGAATAATAAGTGGTTCAAGAACAGGTGTATGTTCAGTAAATTTTGTTGTAAAACATGCAACAACACCAAATATAATACCAATTAATACTCCACCAAGAGAAACAACAAAAAACGATAAAAAACCCAATATAAGATCCAATGGAATTAAATTTTCTTGACCAATTTTAGCAAATGAATCAAACATACGATAAAGAACAACTGAAACAGCATCATTCAATAATGATTCTCCAAATACAACAATATAAAGCATATCATTAACATGTATTTCAGTAAATGTAGCCAATACAGCCACGGGATCAACAGCTGATATAAGTGCAGCAAAAACAAAGCAAGGTAACATTCCAAATTGTGTACCACCATAAAGTGGTGTAAATGAAAAACCCCATAATGTAAGGCCAATACATATTGTATTAAATAGTGTATTAACAATAGCAAGTAAAAGAATTGTACCCAGATTATCGAAAAAAGGACGATTTGGCATAAAATAACCAGCTTCAAGAATAATTGGCTAAAGAATTTCAAAATAAATTTATAAAAATTTCAAATAGTTTTTCAAAAATGTTTTCATCAATTGTAAGAAAATCTGTTAATATAAACGTACTAATGATTGTCGTATCAGAAAAGAAAAAAAAAGGACTAAGGGATTTTTATTTAGCCAAAGAATATCCGATTGTCTATTGGGGTTATTTTCGGTCCGATCCGAAATTAACTCCTAAAATAAAAAACCTAATTTTTTTAGTTAGTTGCTAGATATCGTAATGTTGAACAGGACGTCATAATGCTCAGCGATATGACCTAGTATTGAGCAGGATGTCATAATAGGTGTGAGTGTCAATGAAGAGAAGACTCAGAGCCAGACACCCACACCCATCCTCTCAAATTTAGACGAAAATTTTATCACGTGATCTGATCATACAATGCAATATATTTCTAGGAATATAATTACAGAAGGATTCGTTCAATGAAAATGCCGTCACGATATGGCATATATAATCTATCAATACCTTGATATACATAGTTTGGTTGCATGATTAAATGTGGCATACGCACACACATATTTCATTTCATTTATTGTCTTTTTTCCTGAGTTATGAGTAACTAATAGTTTGCAAAAATGAAAACAAAAACATATTCCAACATCTCTAGTTCAGATCTTTATATTTGCGGCTGAAATCAGTCAATTAAATCCTAAACTACTTATTAAAGTAAGTATTACATTATTTCAAAATGATTTTAAAAAATTAAAGATAAATTCAAACAAATCTAAACTAAATACCGGCAAAAATATGTATATATATATATTTTAAAGATAGAGAAAATTTTCTTTTCTTATTCTTACCGGTAAAAGAAATAAGAAAAATGTATCACTATTAAGTACATAAGCTTTTTGCTCCGCTAAATGTGTGATATAAAGCAAACCGCCTACGATAAGACCAAGAATAATTAAAAGACAACTTTCAGGAAATTTTTCTGTCAATCGATGTGATAAATGAAACCCTATAAATAAAGAAATAACAATAATAATAGCAATGAAATGTTTTCTCTCTATATTAAATTGAATACAAAAATAACATACCAACTTTAGCCAATGAACCAAGTAAAATCCATAATGTAATAGCATAAACATCTGACACATGGTCAAAATTAAATTCTGCAACATGAAAACGTGGTGGTTTTGCTTGATTATGTATATATGTTTGCTCTTTACAATAATATTTATGAAAGATTAAACCCAAAATAAGAATAAGAAAGATGCTATGTTTATTTTTGTACATTATAAATTAAATTGGACGGAATGAAAAAAATAAAAATTAAATTTAACGTTATTATCTTCAATAGTTTGTCTTCAATAGGACGTTTTTATTAATAAAATCAACCTAAAATAAACAAATAAGAATACTGACATCATATTAATTAGCTTGCATATAAATATGCTATTTTTTGTCTATATCAAAAGAAAAAACAAAATAGAGAAAGATTATCACTGTATACTTTGTGAACTTTTCTAACATGAAGTAAGACAATGATAGAAAACAAAAAGAATTTAAAGAAACCAAATAGACGGAATAATCAATCAAATAAAAGAACATAAGTGTAAGTTTATTTAGTTTTTTCATGTGACAATAAACGGTTAATTGGTTTTATCTAACTATCAAGCGATTTCCCAGTTGCGACAAAAATTTCAACCTTCACCCATACTGTCAATCGTCTAATTTGTTTAACCTTTGCCCGCAATCAAGGAGATACAATCTTTCATGTTTTTGTATTCATGAAAAACAAATCATATAATTAAATATTAAAAAATAACTTGATTTTCTACTTAATAAAAATTATATTACAATATAGACTATTGTTTGAAATAAAAAAAAAGACAAAAAAAATGATCATTAAATTTATGTTAACATGTGGGATAAAAAACATATCTTACATTGAAACTGTATCCAATACTTGTTTCTAATATTACCATCGTCATTATTCTGTTTTGTCAGTCTATTCAAGACTTGACTTGCACGATAGGAACCGAATAAGCACAAAAATAGAAGAAAAACAATTATTTGTGCGTTCTGTCTGTGTGTTCTGTTTTCTGCTGTAATAATCATGGCACACAAGGATATATATTTGTTAGTCGTATATTCAATGAAAAAAGATGTGTGTGTCAAGAGACCGAATGATGAAGGAAAAAAAGAACAACAAGAAAAATAGGCTATATATATTGAAAGAGGACCAGTAAAAAAACGTCTCTATTAATAATAAATTCTGCTAAAAAATCGAACCATATTTATGATTATAACAGAAAACAAACCTCAATTCTCTTCTTGAATTAAACATATAAAAAGAATTTTCAAAATTCACGAAAATAAAAACCAATATTTTCATATTTTTATTCAATATTTTTTTTACAGACCTTGTTTTTACTAATATGAATGCTAAATTTGATAGTACTTGTTGTCGATTCCAATGTGACATATACATAATATTTGTCTAAAATAAACAAATACTAATTTCTTTTAATAATAAAAAAACAAAACAAAACAAAACAAAACAAAACAAAAAGCTTCTAAAATTCGTATTCGTTCTTGTTTTTACTTTGAAAGAATAAAACAACATAAATGAGTTTAATCAGACAATGGTATGAACACAAATACAAATCGAATTAGAATAGAAATAACAATAAATAAATGAGAAAAAAAAAAGATTCTTTTTGTTTTGTTTATTAAATACTATATCTAATCTTTATCGCTATCACTTTCAGTGGTAAACTCGTTATCTTCAACTTTATTATTAATTCTTTCATCATTTTCACTAAAATCCCATTGTGGATGATTATCAACAACTTCTTTAGCTGCTTGAACATCAAGCTAAAATATTCAAACTTATAAATAAATTTTATTCAAATAAATTTTTACCGAAAGATTTTCCATAACATCAACATCCAAATATGAATCAGATCTTAAAATAACTGAATAAAGATAATGACCAGGTATATTTGGTGCTGAAAATTTAACTTCAATCTATATAAAATATTAACAAATAATAATAATAATAATAATTAAATTTTTAAAATATTTTATTTTAATATACTTCTTCATCATCTTTTAATGTACACAAATGAACAGGTGCACTTATCAATGAATGATGTTTTCTATCAGCAACATATAATCACCAGCATTCTTGTTCAATCTTAAAAGGGGAAATAAATTTAGAAATTAAACAATGACAATAATAATAAAGAGTCTTTATTTAAAGATACATACTTCGGGATAAAATGGACAAAAAACACGGCGACTAATTTTTGCTTTTGTTTCTAACTTTTCTCTTTTACGTTGTTGTTTTTGAAATCTTTCAAGAAATATATCTTCTTCATTATCATTATGTTGAATTTTTGTTTTATTGGATGATGTCTGATCATTAATTATATTTTCATCATTATCATTATCATTATTATTGCCATTTAATTCATTATCAATTTCATCTAAATCTTCTTCCGTTTGTTCACGATTTCGACGTAAATTTAATGGCAAATCTGAATAATAAGAGCGTAAGAATGTTGATCCTTTTATTCGTTTACTTTTGGAATATATTTACCATTAGAATGTTTCAATGAGTCATCGTCTAAATACAAAGAAATAAAGTGTAAGTGCGCAGTATGTTTTTTTCAGTTCGAAAAAAAAAATACAATAGTCAATGAGCTGCGATTTCATTATTCATGAGAAATAGTCTACTTTATAGATTTGTTATTTCGAAAGGTAAAAGAAAAATAACGACCGATATAAATAGAATTTTGATTGTTTAATGAAAAAAATATACGACTATGGTGTGAAAAAAAAAGGAATTACCTGTCATGTCACTGTTGACAATTAATTTATTCTGTAAGAATAACATACATTAAATGTTTGACATTGTTAAATTAACTTAAATTTCATTAATGAACAAAAACTAGCAAATTAAGAGCGATCTTAAGATTATAATCTATTGAAAACTGGAATTATTTATCATAGAAACATATGTCGTAGCGAAGTTACACCGGTCGACGAAGTTACAACTTCATCGTGTAAATTTGTCGAAGTTAATTTTGATTCATCTATCAATAAATAATTCACTTCATTAAATATAATACCGTTGAATATATAATCAAAAATAAATTTTTCTAAAATGAATATTCATTTATTTAAGAATATTCTTAAATAAATGAATATTTATTTTAGAAAAATTTATTTTTGATTATATATTCAACAGTATGATATTTAATGAAGTGAATTATTTATTGATAGATGAATCAAAATTAACGTCGACAAATTTCTCTGTCGAAGTTATAATTTCGTCACATTTATACGACGAAGTTGTAACTTCGTCAATATGAGACGACGACGTTATAACTTCGTCGACCGGTGTAACTTCGATACGACATATAGATAAGTATGATTTTTTCTAACTTTCGGAATCTAACACATTCGATTCTCTCTCTCTCTCTCGATAATCTTATGAAAAATTAAAATCGTAAAAGAAGTTTTTGTTTTTTGTTAATAAATTTCTCTTTCAAATGAGACTATTTTCTTATGTCTGAAATCAAGATTAAAAAAAATTTGCCGTTAATTATTGATCAATAAATATAATTTCTACGTATTCGTTTGGTGCAAATGTTAGATTACGTACCACTAGAATCTTTCGTATCATTTTTAATTTGATTTTTTTCATTATTCATGTTAACTAATGTTCGTTTATTCGTTGAAATATTGTTCATTTTCGAAGATGTTGTGTATCCTTTCTTTTTTCCTTTATCTTTATTAGCTTTTTTTTTGCTTTTCTGATTTATGATTCCAGCCGTTTGATGTAGTACTCGCAGCTGATGTTTTTAATGTTTCATTTGTCTGTCAAAAAAGAAAAATTAAGAATTTCATTAACAATAACAAGAAAAATAAACGAAATACTTTCTTAACCGTATCTCGATTTTCTTTATCATCAATGTGTTCTTCATTTGTTTCATCATCAAGTGTATTAGCAACAGCAAATGTATTTGTAGTCATTTCTTTACTAAATACAGATGACATATTTTCACGATGTAAATGTACTGTTAATGTTACAACAGCTCCTGTTGTTATTATATGTTCATCTTCATCATCAAAAACTAAAGACAATAAAAATATTATACGTATAGTTATAGATTATTTTTTTTTTAGTATATTGACAATTGAGTGGAAGATAGAAAACATGTACGTAAGTTCAGTTTACTCATAAAAATGATTATTAAAATCAAAAATTGAACAAATCTCTTGATCTTTTGAAAGATTTTTACTTTTTGTTTGTTCATCAAAAGTACCGATAAAATGTTTTAGTCCTTCATTCATTCATGTGTACATAAACAGCACGTATATGATCCTTCCGTTAGTCTACACTGTAATCTCTCAACTATAATCAAATTTAAAGAATTCAATTTCAATGAACCATGTAGTTGACAATCTACACAAAATTTTCATAGAGAATAACATGCAAATTTAATTATGTTTGACAAGATTACAATCTCGAATAACAATGGGTAAACTGTGTGTTGCTTATATAAACATGAATGAATAGCTAGAAGAGTTCATCAATACTTTTGATTGATAAACAAGAAGTAAATGTTTCAAAAGATGAAGAGATTTATTCAACTTTTGATATAAATAATTATTTGCATGAGTAAACTGAATTTATACAGTATTCTCCATGTGAAAATCATGATTCAACTAGCGTGTTACTCATTTTCTTTTTATTATTGTAAAGAATCAATATACCTCCATATGTTACATTCATTGTTATATGTGGATAAATAGCAAGAACATTCATAATATCATAATACTGTTCGTCTGTAATACTATGCAATATAGAACGACGTTGTTCATCATCCATTGCAACAAATTGTCGAATGGATTTAATTGTATGCTAAAGAAAAAACAAGAATTTTTAAAAGTGTTTTAATAGATTTTATATTCATTTATTTAGAAAAAGTCTATAATCTAATGAAACAACATTGAACTCTAATATGAAAAATGATATAAATTGAATTGAATTGAATTTCTCATTATTTTTAATTACGTACATGAAAAAAAGAAGATTATTATTCTATATAATTAATTGTATGTTTCATGATAAGTTACAATAAAACTGTAGATAAGCTAACTTCCGTTTAGATTAAACGAAAGATTGGTAGTGTTCTTTTCTGTAGTCTATTTTTTGCCATAGAAAAATATAATAGAATGGAAAATGCACTAGTATTCATACATTGTGATACGGATAATTAAATCATATTCACCAGTAAAATAGTAAAAGTGTTACACGAATGTAACAGATGAAAAATATATCCTAGTTAAGATATATTAATTAATAGAAACACAAAACCTTCATTCCTTAGATTAAAAATTATTTTGGAAAATAATCTTAATGTTTTTATAGATGCTTAAAATAGAATATATAAGCTAATCAATCCTACAAAATATTACTTAATCGTTTTAGATCAATGAATGTTCAAAGAATTAAAGATTTAATATAGTCGTACAATTGAGATTTTCTCTTTCGGAAGGATTAACTCAATTTCCGGAGGGGCATGATCTTCACACTGGATAGAATATTGTTTCGAATGAAAATCAAAGTTCTATTATTATCAAATAAAATTCCTGATTTTATTATTAAATCATGTGAATTTATCATAAAAAATGTCATACTTTTTTAGTTTCAAAAAATCTTAAATAATTTTCAGTAATATGTGGTAATTGAAGAAGTGGACTTTTTGTATTTAATAATGCTTGTACAAGCATTGCTGATAATTTCATTGTATTTTCAATTGTATCAAGTCGTGGAGCATTTTTCACTATAATTAAAAATAATAAAAAAACAAAAATAAATTCAAATTTCAAATTCTTTGTGTTTCTGTTAAATATACATCGTCCAGCATGTCCCATAGCAACAAGTTGTGCTTCAATATTAATCATTTCATTAATTAAATATATCGATCGTCTTACAATGTACCGTTTATCTAATATAAATACAAAAAATAAAACAAAATTAAATTAAAAAAAATATAAATTTACAAATATACCTTTTTCAAGATTATCACTTAATGTATCAAGTCGATGAAGATGTGCATGAAGTAATGTACGTGCTTTTATACTATATGGTGCTTGAAATGGTCTTTCTTTAGTTTTTTCTTGTATATCAGGTAATTCTCTGAATAACTAAATAATCAGAGACAAAAAAAAGAAAAGAAGATTGGTTTTTTTATAAACAATTTTTATATTGATGTTTTCTCTTTTTCATTATAAAACTAACTTTTGGCAATTCAGTATTATCACTTGGTCGATCAATAATAATTGAATTTCGTGTACGATCAAATTCTGTTGACACACTTAAAATCATAATTGGACCTGCAAACAAAAAGATATTCTGAAATTATTCATTTTCTTTTTAGTATATTCACGAGAGAAAGTCTCCAACTGATCCACGCCATTTTCAATGTTATGACCATTTTACTGATTTTTCTACCTAGCACACGATATATACAGAAAAATTGAACAATGAAATTTCAATCCGAAGGTTTGCTCAAATGTAATTCTTATGGTCGTTTGAACACTCTAAAAGTTTCACGAAGGAACCTCTCGAGGTGATAAAAACCTTTTGAACTCAAGCTACTTTTATCTTGTAGATTCTAGAGAGTAGTGAAATATTCTGAGTTAGTTCGTTCTCTTAGTGCTTTCGGATGGAGTTATGATTGCTTAACTGGTTTTCTGATCTATGGCATCATGTGAGTAGCAGTAGTAAATGAGTGAATTTCGTTCTAAACTATTATCCCCATTAAGAGGTCGTATGAACATTAGAATATCTTGAAAGTTTCCGACAAAATAAATACATCCTTCTCGAGATAATGAATTTTTGAAAAACGACTATTTCTTACAGGAAATTAAGAATTATCTTCGGAGAGTCGTTTCTTGAAAATTCATAATCTCGAGAAGGATGTATTTGTTTTGTCTGAAGCTTTCAAGATATTCTAGAATGTGTCCTTGTCTAAATGTTCAGTTTTAAAAAAAGTTAATCTTTCAGGACTTTATAAACTATGAAACAAGTTTTTAAGAATCGATATCCCCGAAAGGAAACATTTTTTTTTTCCTCTGAAACTCTTCAAGTATTTCAATGACCACGACAACTAGATATCTTGGAAGTAAGTCCAAACTTGCTTAGAATTTTTCTTAGAATAATCTCTCCAACATATGAACAAAATATGATTGAAAATAGCATGGATTAGTTGAAGACTTTTCTTCGTCAGTGTTTCTCTATCATTAAACAAACAAAGAAAATTGATCAAACGATTGACAGATAAATATAAAAACAATATTATCATTGTATATCATAGAAAAGAAAAAAGAAAATATTTATTCGATTTTACAACATACGTTTAATAATTATTGATGATGTTTTACTAAGAAATACCCAATAAAGATGAATAGTATCAATTAATATATGATCATCAGCATAACGTGCTGATTTTTGCCACCAAACACACTTTTATAAATAAAGAAAAAAAATTTTTTTTTGTTTCTAAATAATCATCAATTTACATACAACAATAACTGGAAGTACAATCCTAAATACGCCAGTATAAATTAAAAGAACAAATATAGAATTTTGATGATCGACTAACCATTTTGGTAAAGCAATGCCAAAACGAGTAACTAAAAACCGAAATAAATTTTAAGCTGAAAAAAAAACAAAGAATTTGCAAAAAATAAACAAACCTCCTGGTCCATCAGGATTCCCATATTTTTTCCAATTTTCTTTTGCTTCTTCATCAGTTAAAGTTTTATAAGCTTTAGCAATTTCTTTCTATAAGAAAAAAAAGATTATATTTCATTTATAATTAAACGATTTTTTTAAAAAATTTTTCTACTTATAAATTTTTCTGGATCACCATCACGATCTGGATGATCTTTTTTACTTAATTCACGATAAGTTCATTTTATTTCACTAATTGTAGCTTCCTAAAACAAACAAAGAATTTCTTTTGTTAGAAAATATTAAAAAAACCACATGAAAAATTTACTCGATGAATATCAAGTACAGCAAATGGATCATATTCTTTATGTTCAATTTCTATTAATGATACACGATAAGCAAGTACTAATAATATAATTCATGCTAATAAAAAACCAATCTTACTAAAATAGAAAAAAATAAAATGAAAATTAGAATTTTTATCAAAATCGAATAGATCATAATGGATTTTGTCATTGCCTTTTTTTTACAAAGATATTAAACATAAGGAAATAGAAATGATTAATCAATCATAGTTTTTAATGTACTGATTTTTGTTTGTACAAAAATTACTTTACTACCAGCTATGATAATAATAATAATAATACATCGGACAACTCCCTTATGATCAATAGAAATTGAAACTATATAAAAGTCAACGGAAATCATCGTTTTCCCTTCTAGAATAATTTCTTTCTTTCATGAACTTGCTTGTTTTTTCATAATCAAAGTCATTTTTTTTACATTATTTGTTCGAAGGCTTTTATAAAATTTTTTTACAATGTTTAAATATATTTTAAACATTTTATACATAACCTATTATATCTAATAGTTTGAAAAAGTTGCACTTCACTTGCTGCCATAAGACTGTAACGAAAACTTTTATCTGTCATTTATTTTCATTTTACAGACGTTATAACATATTATAGTTAATCATTTTTGATCTTAAGCCTCAAGAGACAGATCCAAAAGCTTTTCATTTACTATAAAAATAGATCTGTACTCGTTAACTTCTTAATTTATCATAAATGGTACTAAACTGTTGTCTTTTAAACAATAGATTACAGTGTAGTGAAAAGTACACTGAATGAAGGCGCGCAAACATCTCTCTCAAAAAAAATGGTTTGCCAATGATTAGTTTGCTGCAAATCATTTGCCTACAATGAGTATTTCAAGTAAGATACATCGTATCAATTTAGATAATATGCTCGATTTCTAGGGAAAGCAGACTTGTAAAGTGAACTTGATCATTTTTGAAACTCTTGATTCTTATATCATTTTGTAGAATATATACTTGTCTTTAATTCTATGCAAAAAAAAACTCGGTAATATAATGTATGCAGTAAATAACACTATTGTTGCCTAAAAATGTCAATTCTCTATGTCTAAACTTAATTTTCGCATCTTATATTGAATCTGTATTCGGAAACAATACAAAATTTTGATTCAAACTCAATGTTTTCACATTTCTGTCAGCTCCTTAAAAACGTTGAAAAATGAACGAATATTTGTGTAAAATTAATTTTCGATAACTCGTTAATATGCTGGCAATTTTATACAAGTTTTGTAAGCTAAAAACGACTAGAGAGTTCAAGATATAACATTTTCATTTCGTCCAATTGAAATCAAAAAGATTCAACATCTTTTGCATGTCATCTACGATTTCTTTTTAAAAATATTTCTAATTTAAACTCGAGTATAAATATATGATTTTTTACGTCAATATAGCTCGTCGTCGTGGATTAGGCTTATTTGCATGTAACAATTGATGTTTATAACGACATGGAGCAATATTCGATGTATCTTCAGGATGTAATGGCGTATTTTCTAAATATTTCATAAAAAATACAATAAAATATCCATGATTTTTCTTTTGTCTTTTCTCTTACTTCTTTTTTCTGATTTCGGCCATAGCCAATAAGTTGTTGATATAAGTATTAATGCATAAAATGATAGAAAAAAATAATAAAATTTACCACCATTTTCATCATACTAAAAATCAAAACGAATTCAATATTTCTAATCGATACAACAAAAAAAAAATATTATTACTAACCTCAAATTTCATTCCAGCCATAATATTCTGTCTTTTTTTTTCTTCCTCCCTTGATTAAATATTTATCAATACAATACCATTACTTCTTCTTCATTTCCTAGTTATTCTTGATAACAAATAAAAATAAAAAAAATCTAAACAAAACAAAAAGTTTATAATTTTCAAGCACAAATATTTATTTAATTTAAATTCTGGTTTATTTTGTTAAATAGCAATAAAAAGATTAAATTAAACATAAAACAACGACAAGACAAAAAAAAAGCAAGTAGACATTCAAATGCACTAATCATTAGTTTTTACATTGTTCATTCTAACAGGAGAAAAAAAACTGAATAGATTAAAAAGAAATATCGTCACAATAGCACAAGAAAAAAAAATCAGACATTTAGATATTTGTATACTTTTGTTTTGTTTTTGTAAATGACAAGATAAAATTTTCATTAAAAATTGACAAAGAAAAGAAAAAAGCAAGATTTTGTATTTTGGCTTTGTTTTTTGCCCACTGTATGTTAAATGAATAAATATTTTTAACGATAATTTTGAAGTAATTGAACAACATATTTAGAACTAATTTGTCCAAAATGTGCGTTTAAATATTCTCGACCACCATGTTTAAGCCATTCTTGTTCAAAATCACTTTCAAGAATTTCAGCACCTTTTTTCGATGTTAAACCTGTTTCATCTAAACTTAATTCACACATATTCATATCATCAACACCAGCAACAAGAAGTACTGCTTCTTTATTTGGATGAATTTCCATTTGACGAGCAATCCATTTATCTAAGAACAAAAACAAAACAAAAAAAATAGATCGTTGATAAAGAATTAAAAACAAATATTGTATCTTACCATCAAAATGAGCATACCACCATCCTTTCTTTTTTTGTTCACCATGTGTATTTCGATTTTGATCATTAGGACGAATAAATGGAATGCGAAAATATCGCTGTTCAGCTCCTTTACCACTACTATTCTTTTTCGAATTAGTAGTTGTTAATAGTTGTCCAGCTTTTTTCATTGATCCACTTGATGTTGATGTACCACTAGCCATTGAAGGTGGCACAACTTTTAAATAAAAATATTTTAAATTAAACTTTTTTGTTTTATAAAAATATCAATGTAAATCAATTTTAGAACAAATTATTTTTTATTTTAAGTTCAATGAAATAGATTCGAATTTACTTTTCATTATAAAATCATAATTATGTAGTTCTAAATATGAATCAATTCTAGACTATGAAAAACGAGTGTTTATTAAAACTAACTATTATTTTGAAATGATAAAGATCCATTGTTATTATTATAAATTAAATCCATTTTGTGCAATAACAACAATAATATTTAAGATATACTAGGTGCAGCAGCTTCCATGATTTAGTTTTTCAGGATCTTTTAAAATATTTTCATAAACCCCGTTATACATATTATTATTGAACGAAAGGAATTAGATTGAAGGCAGATATCTAGCTGCAGGTGAGAGTGAGAACGACATCATAAGACGAAAGATCAACTATGAGGAGGGCTGATCCATGAGAAATATGATTCTCTTTTAGTACAGTTATGGTGTAGTATATGCTATTAATAGATGAATTCGCTGGATCAAATTAACCTTATAAATTGCAAAAAAAAAACATAAATCTCAGTAGTCGCTCGATTTGTCTACAATCGTTTACATATTGTGCTGAATTGTAAACAGTCGTATACAGCAAAGTTACGATGAAAATATAAATAGGTGTATCAATCGACCGATAAAGGAAATTAATTAATTCGAAAAAAGATTTCTGGAGTATTTTAATTTTTTATAGATTTTGAAAATAATGGATTTATGTATTTCAGTTAATAGTATCCACGTCATTGAAATAGTGTAAGTTTTCATCACTAATTGCGATATTTAGAAAAACTACGATATAAGAATCATCTATATAAAAATTATTTGTATATTTTTTTATTTCTGAAAACAAGAAAAACTAAATTTTTATGGCTTTTTCCTTAACAAATATTTTTAGTATTTCTATGGCATGACATCTGATAGAAAACTTCGTACTAAATATTTACTATCTGATTAATTTCAATCAATAAGAAAACAGACGTGCTCATTTTGTTTTTTTAGCTCTTGTTTAATTCATCTTCTTATATTAGAGAAACTATTTTAATTTATTAGATCAATTTCAAGAACAATGACATTTTAGGGATGATTTTACAAAATAGATTATGCAATGACAGATTTAGCAGGTGCATTGAGACTGATCGCGTCCCTCTCAAAAGGTTTTCACTATTTTTTTCTAGCAAGAAAAGATTTAAAATGAGCTTCAAAATACGTTTTATGATCATGATCGTCTCCTGTTTCTATCGAAGCGCACCACTTCCTTCTTCCCCCCATAAAAATTCAAGATCCACCACAGAAATTAAATTCTTTTTATTTACCTCAGTTCCAACAATAGTTTCATCAGTATAGGTCTTATTTAGATGAATCTCAACAACAATTTTATCAATAAATGTAATTGAAATTTAAAAAAATGATGTTTTTATACACAAATGGAGGCAAAAAGAAAAATTCATCCTTTTTACTTATGAGTATGCAACATTAAATGACGTCATATACGAAAGTATACAATAATTATAATTCTCGTACTAGATTCCTAAGGAAATTGCTGAGGAGATCCCTGTAGTGATTCTCACGGAGTTTCCAATAGACATATTGGACGTTCTTTTATGAAAAATTGACAAGAGTTACTCATTCATTATTTTAAAAAACATTGTAGATTAATCGCAAATCTTTTATTGAAAATCAGCGAAAACCGTCAGTGTTTGCAATTTAATCGTGATAGAATCTCATGATTAATCAGTTTTATAAATCGCTGATTTTAGTGACATGAGTCATCATTATCTGTATGATGGCTTCTTTCTAAATCCTTAGTTAATTCTCGATTGAAATATTATCGTTTATTTATAGAAAATAGATTCACTGCTTTTTTTCTTTTATATAGCATTGAATTCAAAGAGAAACGATTAGACTTTAGTGTATGTTTAACTGTGTTAATATTTTGTTAATGAATAAACTTACCATTATTTAAAATATCGTTTGGAGCTCGTTCTTCAGCTTCATCCATTTTATCATCTAATGCTGATGGATTTTTTCCTTTTCGATTTTTTGATTTCCATGCATGATAAACTTTTAAACGTCGATGAAATTCTTCTCGACAAGCTTCAAGTAATTCCAAATCTAATTAAAATATAAATAAATAAAATATTTTCGTTGTTGTTGTTTTAATGGTTTTTGTAATTTATTTACCACAAGATGTATTAATTAAATCACGTAATTGAGCATATGTATGTTTACTTAAATCATGTTTTTGATTAACAGTAGGACGACGTCTTCGTTGTAAATGTGGTAAATCCGCTTCGCCACCTGTTTCTAAAGCAAGACGTCGTGCTAAATCATAATCACGACGTTCACGTTCATTCACTTCAGCTAAATGAGCTTCTTCATCAGATTCTTTTGCTTGACGTTCTTTCTATAGAAAGATATTTTTTTTTTGTTTTTAAAAAATATATATATATATTTTTTATTCTTACTTGACGTTTTGTTTCTTCAGCAGTAAGTTTACCTTTGAACTGTTCTTCTTCTTTTTGACGTTGAGCAATAGCTGAGCGTCTAATGTTCATAGAAGTATTTTTAAAAAAGGAAGAATTTGTTAAATTCTTACTGTCGAAATTCTTCTTTTTCTTGTTCTAAACGTTGTTCTTCAGCAAGTTTTTTTTTCTTTTCACGTTCAAGTTCCATCTAAATATTTAAGATTGTTATTTATTTTCTTGTTAATTAAATAAGAGCGATTGTTATATTTATTTACTTGAATTTTTTTTAAACGTTCTTCTTCTTCTTTTATTTCTTGTTCAGCAAGAACTTGTTTTAATCGACGAAATTCACGATCAATTGATGAAACAAGATCATTGTATGCATTATCAATATGTGTTGAATTCACAGATGTATTCTAAAAATAGAAACAAAAATAGAATTTAATACAATTTCAATTTTACTAATTGATATTTATTTATAAAGTTTTCAATACTTAGTGAATAGATAAGAAATTTTCAATGGCATTGAAATCAAACTGATGTATATCAACTCTTGCATTTTTTTTATACTTAAGATCTTCCTCAAAAAAAGTTAATTTTTGTCAAAAAAATGAAAATAAAGATAGACGTATGGGAAGATATTTCGAAATCTTATCTTTCACAAACGGCATGATTTTTTATTTGATATCTTGTGTTTTTTTGCCAAAATTTTTGATGATTTTCGTTACCTTCTACTTTTTCTCTGTTTATACTCTCCAGATTATACGATCCAGAATTCTCACTAGGCCTGCATTCTATATATTTAACCTTGTTCTTGTTTGAAAGAATATATCAAGATGTCAGGCATGACATAGTCCTTTGCTTTGAATTAAGCTGTTACGATTACATAACAAAGTGCTTTTACCATTAGCGTCATTTTTTTGAGAGTTATTCGAGACTTTGAATACCGATCATTCCTTTTCTTCGCATAAAAAGTAATAGTTTTCAAAACAGAAATGGGTTCTGCCAGACACTGCAGTCTGACATGCTCTTTCAAATACAGAAAAAATTAAATCTATAGAATGAGAGCCCACAGAGAATTTCGAATTGCTGAATGAACTATTTTTGACTCTTGTCTGTGAAATATCTGCCAAAAACATGATGGTATAGGACTAAAAATTTTACTAAAGCGTCTCCACTATAGCTTTAACATGTTCTGAAAACTTCATGCAATTTGAATGTATCTGGCTTGAGATCGGTTTTTGAGGAGAATGTATGGCCTCAACACTAAACTGTAAGTTGTAATAAAATATCTAAAATCTTATAATATTGAATTTAAGAATTTTGATAATATTCTTTCGTATTTGAAATTTTCAAAGCATCTTTTATATGGAAATACAAGGAGTCTTGTAATACATTGAAAATAGGAACTGGAACGATGAGCACGAGAAAAGTTCAGCACATCAAAAAAAATAAATAAAGATCAATATGACGTCTATTGAAAGATCAATGAATATATACAGATGTGGATGTTAGTCTTCTCTAGGCATACAATCGAATCTAATAACAGAGTTTCAATATTTCAAAGTTATCTCATTGATTATGAACTATATCAATAAACTATCGCGCCACAAATATAGAAAGATGTCTGCCTTTCACAATCACATGGAGAATGATTCAAAATAAATATCTTAGCAAGGATATGTACGTTCTGGTTCAAACTTTGATGATGTTTCGAGTGAATATAAGGTCTATCTGTAGCGCAAATTTCAGCTCGAAACTCCATTATCTGGATTCTCAAAGATTCTATGTTCATAGGGAAAAAATTGAGTAAAATACTCATAGTTCAACAAGTGAAGACTGGAAAACGAAACTAAAACAGACTTTCCTAGTACTCAACATGGCCAATCGAATAACAATAGTCTCAAGCGAAAAATGATTGCACAATTGGGAATGTTCTCTCGTTAGGCATTAATCGATATATTGTTAGAAAACTTATTTTAATAATGTAAAATTTGTTATAGACAACTATTATCGGATAAACATAATTAATTTCGAATATATTTTATTTATAAAACAAATCTATAATTTTATATAAATAAATTTCAAATGAAACCTACTGTAATTTCATTAATTAATTGATCAATTCGTTGTCTTAATTGTTGTACTTGTTTATAAACTTGTTCTTTATTAAATTTCATTTGTCCAACAATTTTTTCCATAGAAGCAACTTGTTCATGTAATGCTTTAACTTTAACTAAACCTCGAATTCTAAGAAAAAAAAGAAATCAAAGAACAAATATTAATAAAATACATTTGAAAAGGTTTTTATATCTACCGTGGTGCATAACGTTTATAAACTAAATGCATACGAACATGTCTTTGAATATCAACTAAACATTGACGTCGATAAAGAATTTTATTTCTAACTAAATAATAAAAATAAATTATTATTATTATTAATATTTTTTTTTTGTTCCTTTTTAATTAATTTACGTTTAATAACTGATAAAACACACCATTGAGCTTTTTTCCATCGTGTCCATAAAAGCCATTGTTTAACTTTAGATATAAGTACAGCTAAATTTTTTGGATCAGATTTCATAATTACATCAAATTCAGCAAATTTTCCCGGACGAAAAAAAACTTTTGTTAAACCAAATTTAAAATCTGTATCATGAAGATTTAAAGCTTTAAATAATGCTTTACAAAAAAGACGTGGATCAAGCCGTGCTAATTCTTTCGGTAAATATGATTTATACATTGCATATAATTCAGCAAATTGTGTACGTGATGGAAAACCTTGTTGCATTAAATCTAACACTGATACCATACCTATTGAAAAAAGAATATATATTTATTTTAATTCTAAAAAAATATTTTCTTTAAGTCTTACCGCTACATTGTAATTGACTTAGAATTTGACCACCTTCAAATAAATTTGGAACCATTTTGAGATTTGGTTTAATACAACGAATAAAACTAATACCCTATTTGAAATTTAGAAAAATTTTAAGTATACTGTTTATTCAGAAGAATCATTTAAAGTGAAATCAATTATGATTAAACTTCAAATTTTGATAATCATCAAAGATAGTATCAATTTGAGTTTTTGTTTTTTGCAGAAATAATTTCAGAACGAAGATTTGATATTTCTTACTGGATTTCTCAGATTTATCATTAAATTAAAAAAAAAACTCTTGATTTGTTTATTTATCATTTTAATGCTAAAGAAAAAATGAATCTAATTAATTAGATATTTTTCCTATCTAGATCCTGATTTCTACGATATGAATACTACGTTTTAGTTACACAACTGAGATTCGAAACTAGGAGAATTCAGTTCCATTCAACTCTAATAAAGTCTAATTAGATTTGTTTTACTTAATACGATACTCTATTACCCTTACAATATTTCTAATCTTTTTAACGGAACCACAATTTCTTTGCTTCTTCAAAAAAGTTACAGCACTTCTCACATAATATGAGAGCACCATGGCTGATTTGCTGCACTTGTCGATACATATCCACAAAGTGCTAGATAGCATGCCGACTATGTTGTGACACACACTTGCTCTTACGGCTAGCTAACGCAAGAACTTTCCTTCACGGCAACCTTCTGTTCAAAGCTATAGTTAGTATTAGTTGTAGGAAAGCTATCGAACTATTAAATCTGTTGCTAGACAGAAACTGATACCACATAGGAGAGCCGAAAGGCAGAGATATTCTTTCTCATCTAATATTGACTACTGTGAATGATTTGTTTACTTACAGTACTTCGTAATTTATTCATAAGATCAGCTAATTGTGAACGAAATTTTGAACCAACCGAAATAAAATTTAATTTTCCTGCCGATTGTTCACGTTCGGGTGCTTTCGGAAAAAGATTTTTAATAAAACTATTTCTAGATTCTTGAACCAAAATAAGTAATGATGCATGTAAAGCATCATTATTTTTTTCGATAAATTGTGCCTAAAAAAGAAAAATACTTTGTATGAATATATATAAATAGTTTATATAATAATTAAACACATACAGTTGAATAAACAACACTACCAGCAAAATGTTGAATTAGAAAACCTTCATCATCACGAATTTCACGTGATGCACGTAATTTAGATTTTCGTGGAAACTGAACAGAAACAAAAAAAAAAGAATTGATAAAATTTAAAAAACAAAGAAAAAAAGTTCTTTTTGTCTTGTTTTTCTTTACATCAAGTCTTGGATGGCCTTTATTACGATTATGAACTTCAGTTGTAAAATGTTCTGGTCGTGGTGTTGGTAATTTACTTTCTTCATCTAATAAATCAAAACAACCAGTTGTTTTTGCTTCGATTAAATCTAAACATATTATATAAGAAATTAAATATGAATTTATAAAATAATAAAACAAAAAAAAACAAAAAAAAAATTTTTTTTCATTTATCATGCAAGTAAAAAAAAGCTGGACGGACGTAATCATGCTGATTTTCAAACATTTTAATAGACTCGTGAATGTTGTTGGTTTAAAAATAAGCAATTAATAAAGAATGTTATTGTGAATTGTTGAAAGTGATTATAACCTCAAATAGTTGGTTATGATAGAAGGTAATTCAACATAAATCTTTCCTTTGAAGGACTTATTTACGTATTAAATAAGTTCAAGATCACTCAAAAAAAAAGAACTCCTCCTCTTTCTATTAAAGTTCAAAAAAAAATCCAATCCGACTGCATTTTCTCATATCTTGTAATAGATAGACATTTTTCAAATCTTGTGATTTTCATTTATTTGTTTTCAATTAGATATATAAACGCATGGAACAAAATTTACAAAAATACCATTATGGAATCTTTTAGATTTTAAATATTTGTTTTGTTTTCTTTTATAATGATAGATCGACTCATATACAATCAAAAATGTCATCAGAATATTTCGTTTATTTAAATCTTTTTCAAAACGTGACTTATTCTCTTTCTATGAAGCGCTAGATAAAAGTATTTCATAATGCAAAGTAGGTCATTGAAGTCTTTCAAATATGACCTATGCTACCTTCACCTTTTGTTTTATAGGTTTTTCTATAGTAAGAAGTACTATTTCTTTTCTTATATAGTTCAATCTCTTTAACATAAAAAGACATGTAATAAATAAATCTTTTTTCATTAAACAGCTAAATAAATACTTCGCATTCATCCTTTCAACTTATATGTCATAATTAGTTTTTCTTTTCATGGGTGCAACGTTATCTAACATTTGTTTTGTTATCTCAAGCTATCATAAGTCTATATTTGAAGCCAACATATTCCCCTCTGAATATCCATATTTCACATCTTTTTTTTAAACGCTCATGCAAAATATACAATAACAGACATAAACACACACACAAATGTGGTTAAGAAAAAATTTGGCCCCTACCAAGCTCCTATTTCATTTAAAATAAAGAAGAAAATAAAGATGATAAAAAATAAAATAAAATAAAATAGACTAAAAATTCAATCAACATACCAATACAATCTTGATTATCAATATAACTAATTTTTTTCAAACCAAGACCTTCTTTTTCATATAATAATTGTTCTTCTTTAAGTATACGTTCATTAAAAAATTGTTGTAATTTTTCATTACAATAACTAAAAACAAAATAAAATAGCATTCTTCTAAAATCAATAGTATTTTTTTATTATTATTATTATCATACTTAATACAAAATTGTTCAAATGAATTTACAGGAAAATATTCAAAACCAGCTATATCAAGAATACCAATATATGAAATTGATGAACTAAATGGTATTGATTTATTAACAAACGTAACTATTTGATCAAATAATCGAATATATATTGCTTTAGCTAATGCATCACGTGCATTTTGTGCTTCATGAACTTTTAATGGAACACTAATGAAACAAAAAAAGAGAGAAATAATTCAAGTGTAATTAAACGAAAAAAAAGTTGTTAACGCAATCTCTGTGGAATTGAAATGTGAAAGACGATGTAGCTGCTATTGCTAATTAGAAGAAGATTGTTTTATTCAGTATATTTCTGGATACATTTCTTTAACTATCCTTTTACTTAATTCACCAGAAATGCAATAAGAAAGTAGTTCATATATGATAACGAGACGTTATTGATATACGGGAGAGTCCTGTGGAACAAACTTTTTTTGAGTTACGAAACCCATTTTAAGCAGCAATATGTATCACGGTCTGTGGGAGGGGGAAGGGGAGGGAGTCAAGCTTTGATCCTAATACTTCCACACTCCTTTGAGATCGTGTTTGACAAAATTTACTTACGGAATAACCGTTCCTTTACTACTACTAGTTGTTTTTGTCATTAAAACTCTTGTTATTAAAGCATTACGTAAATCACGTTGATCAAGACCAAGCATTTCAGCTGTTATACTTAATGATTTTTCTGTTGCTGATGTTATTTTACAACCACCTTTTGTACTTTCTGGATCATCTTCAAAATTAATATTTCCAACATGTAAAACAGCTGCAACTGTACTATAAATATTTAATTTATCTTGTGTTGTTAAACCCATTTGATCCATTGATTCATCACATTCATTAAAATCATTAAAATCATCTAATTGTGGATCACGTAATGCACCTTTTGATATAAACTAAAATAAAAATAAAAATAAGAAATTTTATTTATTTAAATTCATAATAAAGAAATAACAACACTGATGACAATAGAAATATCTTACATCAAGAAAATTTTTCTATTCGAATAATAAAAAATAATAACGAAGAAAAGTTCTTGCTTTTTTTGTTTTAAATTAATTTAACTTACATCTTGACTTCGACGAGTTTTTGATATCGATTTTTCTGTTTGATTATTACAAAAATATTGTGTACAACCACGATTAAGATACTGATATAGAAGCAAAAAAAAAAAGAAACAAAAATTTATTATAAAATAGAATTTTGTTTTTGTCATTTTAATATACAAACATGAAAACTATCTGGTGATGTAAGTCGTAATTCATTTCGAATACTTTCAGGTGCACCAGCACATAAACGATAAAATATATGATAATTTCGTTCATCTTTTGATTGAACACATATACGAGATTTTTCAAGTAAATAATGGGATATATAACCACCGACAACACGATGCTAGAAAAGGATATTTTAATTCTTTTTTTTTTTTTTAATTCAAAACAAAATCATTTTTAATACTTTATCATTAAAGTGAACTTCAATAAATTTACCAAAACGACTTGAATTATTGTTACGAGTTGTTTTAGCTAGATATTCAAGTTTTTATTTACAAAAAAAAACGAAATAAAAAAAATTTTTTTTTTACCATTGCCAAATGCTTCTAATAATGGATTGGCTAAATAACAAAAAAAAACATTTAGTAATAAGAATTTTGTTCGATTTATTTACATTTGTTTATACGATCTTCAATTTGACCATTATGTGCACCATACGATTCGGTTAAATATTGTAAAACATATTTAGCCGATTCAGTTTTACCTAAAAATACAACAAAATAAATATCATAATCAAATAAAACTATCCTACGAACCAGCTCCGGATTCGCCTGATATTATTATTGACTGACTTTGTTTGACACTGCGCATATCACGATATGCTTTATCACCTTAAATATAAAAAAATAATATACATTATATTATTATTAAAGTTTCGAATTAATTCAATTTTGTTTCAACATGTTGAAAAAATTTGATTTTCTTTAGATATTCAATAATGTAATGACTATTTGATCTGAATCAAAACTTTGATTAAAATTCATATCTAATATTTTCATTGTGTAGAATAAAAAGATTCTAATTCTGCATTTGTTAATTATTTAATTGTCAATAATGTTGAACAAATATTTATTTTTTGTTAGATGGATTACACTGTTTTTTTCTTTATCAAGATTGATGAATGAAGAAAATTTCTCTCGAATATTCTTCAATTTTAATATTATGAAGAAGATTTATATCTAATGTTAAGAAAATTTTTTATCATTTCTTTAAAAAAAAAATAATCGAATGATTTTTCAAATTGTCATAGTAACATTCGACATGATTGTATGAGCTCATCAAGAATTTTACAAAAATTTTAAGAGTACAGAAATTTTATCACTTTTTATGATGAAATATCATCGGATAGTAGAGTCCATTGGGTTCGGATCTGAAAATTTTGGACCCGATGGGCTCTACCATGTCGGCATATAAAAATTCAGTCAATCGTTAAGTTTTACGTGTCATCTTAACGATAAGAAGCTTCACAGAATTGCTTGAAGATCATATTTAAAATATCTTATTTCATGACAGGAAGTCGTCAACTCGTAATACTCTTTCATCTCATATCTTCGAGTAAGCTATAATTCATATTATTTATTCACATTGGTTTTTTGTGTCAAAATTCTGAAAAACCTACCAATGGCATAAACATGTGGTGGCATAATACCAAGTGATTTTCCATTATAACGTTTGATTGAGTCAATTGAATACAGACCTGTTAATTCTTTATAAGGATTAATTGCAATTAAAATATTCGCTACATAAGTCTAAAAGATAAGTTTGATTTAAACAAAAAATTCTTTTATTGTTTCCTATTTTTTCATACATAAATTAAATCTTTTTTATAACGACGACGAACATTATGTAATAATGTTGCTTCATTAAGATACATAAGTGCACCTTAAATAGAAAAAAAAACAAGTTATGTTAAAAATTCCAAAAAAAAAAAATACAAACAATTATCATCAACATCTTTCTCATATTCTTCTGCTTGAAATGCCGAATCGTACGGTACAATTAATGTCTATAAAACAAAAGAAACACAGATTATTCTTTCCAATTCGAATTCTTTTTCAAACCTTTCTGTTCTCTTTCAATTGAACAGTAATGTTGTCGGAACCAATATCGGTTATTTTACCAAGAAGAAATCCATGTTCATTATCTCGTACCCAAATAGGTTTATTATCATTGAGTACGAACATAGTGAAAATTTTAAATGACTACAATTTTCACTAAAACAATAATATATATCTAAAATATATTGAATGTCGAAGTAAGAACAGAAGTAAATATTGATCGAACGAGAGTAAAACACGCCCGACTGATATCTGAGTAAACATATCATCATTAGACTTTTTTTTTCTAGTCGTGACACTTACTAACATCTTCTATTGGTTCACATATACTAACCAATGAATAGAAATTAAATAGAAGAGGCAATTTTTTAATATTTTTCAGATTGAGTATTCATAAAAAATATTTGTTATATGATTTTGTTTGAAGCTGGTGTAGGATGCCTAGTAAATTGAATACTATTGATTGTGGCGCTTAATCGATTTGTAGTTCTTGTTTCAAATTCAAGTAAACTATTCTTTTCTTCTAGTTTAATTGATTGGTTTTTAATGATGCATGAACAATCGACAGCTGCAAAAGAAAAAGGTATTTTTGCTTTCTTTAAAAGGCAAATAAGTTTCTAGTTTTTCTGATGATAGAAAATGAAAAATAGCACCATCAGTTATTCTTATTCAAACGCTGCACAGTTAACATTACACTAGAAGTGGAAGCACATGATAGAAATATTATTATTTTGGTTTGCTTATATATATATATATATTTTTAAACATGTATATATAGACTTCGACGTTGGTGGCTTATGGTGATGATCAGAATTTGAATATTTGTTGGGATATTGCTTCTTTTGTTTTTTCATTATGAGTTTTGAGATAAAGAAAAGAAAGTAAATGTCAATGAAAATTGAATATGATCAAAAGCGAATAGATATTTTATTTTACATAGAAATTTCTAGTCAAAATGATGAAGCAACACCTATACTACATACATATGATAATAATCAAGAAAAATGGTATACTACAGCAAGTCAACTTGTTTTTCCTTTTATGATTGCTGGGTTTGGTATGATTGTTGCCGGACTCCTACTTGAACGTGCGAAGGTATTCATATATATGTCAGAGCAAACTTTCAAATATGAAAAGAGAAAAATGTGTTCAAAAGATTATGTAGAGAATGTAATGATGATTGGTACAATATAAAACAATATTTCTGTGACTATTTTTCGCTTAAAGAAACATTTCCTTTTCCCGAAATCTTCAACTTTCTGTAGATTTATTGGTTTGTTTTAATAAAACAAAGACGAACAATATTTTTTGATGTTAATTCAAAGAGAACAGAGAAGAATAACATCATATTCTATATGTATTGACATGATGCGGAATAACACTTCTTTATGTTGTAAGGAATTTCAATAAATAAAAAAAAAAAGAAAAAAGAAAAGAACTAATTTCCTTAAAAAAATTTTTCTTTTTCTAATTTCAATGATGATAGTGATCCACAAAGTAGAATTTAGTCTGTTTAAAATGATAGAAAAATTCTTTGTGTTAAAAAAAATAAATCGATTAGATTACACTTTAATTTTTATATTTAGGAATTGAAAGTATTTCGAGAAATAACAGCAATTTATATACTTGTTCCAGCTTTACTTGATTTAAAAGGCAATTTAGAAATGACATTAGCTTCTCGTCTATCTACACAAGTATGCTTTGAAGTTTCGTTATTTGGTTGTTTTTTCTATTATTTAAATTTTTAAATCATAGGCAAATATTGGAAATATGGATGAAAAAAGTAAATTTAAAAGTTTATTTATTGGTAATATAGTTTTAATACAATTACAAGCTATTGTTATTGGTTTTCTTGCTGCTATTGTATCAATTCTTATAAGTTGGTTATCACAAGATCATTTTAATATTCGATATGCTCTTGTTTTATGTAGTAGTAGTGTTTTAACAGCAGCAGTTGCTTCAACAGGATTGGGTGTGTATAAATAAATCTAGTTTATATTAAAATCTATAGAAAACTTATTGAGTTTTTTTTTAGGTTTAATTATGATAATAGTTGTCGTCTTATCTCATCAATGTAAAATAAATCCAGATAATATTGCTACACCAGTAGCTGCAGCACTTGGTGATATTACAACTCTTGTTATTCTAGCTGGTGTTAGTAGTTTTTTATTTGGAATCATCAGTATGTAAAATTTTTGATATAAAATATTCATATTTGTTTTTCTGTTTGGATATATCAAGATAATTATCCATGGTTACCAATAATGATAGTGCTATTTTTTTTAACTCTAATACCAATTTGGATAATGATTAGTGCTCAAAATGAATATGTTCAAGATGTACTTATTCATGGATGGTACAGGAATAAAAGTTATATGAAAAATTTTTATTAAAAAAATAAAGTTTTTAGGTCACCAATAATAATTGCAATGTTTATATCAAGGTAAATATTTATGATTAATATTGTAATTATTTAATTAATGTTAATTTAGTATGAGTGGTTTAATTCTTGATTTTGCTGTTCAAACACTTCATGGTATAATCGTTTTTCAACCTGTGATGAATGGTAAAAAATAAAAAAATATATTTGTTATCAATAAAATGATTTATTTAATTTTATGATAGGTGTATGTGGCAGTCTAGTAACTGTACAAACTAGTCGACTATCTACTGCTCTTCATCAACAAGGTAAACCAGGAGAATTTCAAAATGATGAACAATATAATGCTTCGACACATTGTCCAAATCCATATAAATTGTTTTGTTCCAGAAGTATAAATACATTTCTATATTTTATAGAATTACTTAAATACATTTCAAATTTTTTTAGATGGTGCTTCATGTACAGTACGTCTTTTATTATTCATGTCCATACCAGGTCATTTAACATGTCTGTTTATTATTTGGCAATTGGCTGCTAATCATATTCAATTTTCAATTCTTTTTATTTTTCTCTATCTTATCGCAGCACTTATTCAAGTAGAAAATTTTCTTCATTAATAAAATAGAATTCATTTCAAATATTTCATAGGTGGCTATTCTACTTTATATTGCTCAATGGATAGTACCATTCGTTTGGCGACAACATGGAGATCCAGATAATATATGCATACCATATTTAACGTCTAGCGGAGATCTTTTGGGTACCGCTCTTCTTACATGTGTCTTTCTACTGCTTGCATAAACTGATTATGTGTAAATACCAGTATTACGACAAAAACAAGGTTGATTCTTGTTATTTGTATATTTTCATGGTGGTCGATGAATTATTTTTTGTTTTTATATGTTTTATTATGGGATTTATCTAAGATAATGAAATAAATAAATAAAAATATTGGGATTTATTTTATTTAATTCATCTTAAAATATATGAGATCATAGTATATCAGTGCATAGTTTTCTCATAAGAAAATTACTCAATGGGAAATATTTGAATCATATCATAAAGCAAATAAAGTTTGCGATAATTATTAGAGTATTTTCTAGTATTTCAGTCTTGAATATTCTACGAAAACTAAGGATGCACTTGTCAACTTGATGTTTTTCAGGGTCAATCGGTTTTTTTTTCAATAGAAATAAAATCTATTCATTCAAGCGCCATATGTATCGAAACAATAATTGAAAGAAAAATGATCACAGAAACAAATAATATACCACTATATTCTTTTATTTTCACAGATGGGTCGATACAAATACTCCTATTAGCGTAGGCTTGACAAAGCATTTTTGTTTGTATATTAAATTATATTGAATTTTATTAAATGAAAAATTCAATGCTATTAACAACCATATTTAATTGAATAAGCGAATAAATGATTCTTTTACAGTTTTATATTATTAGTATTTGTTTAGAAAATTAGTCTAACTAATTTATTCGATTTAACATATGATTTTTGGTTAGTTAAATTACCAGAAGAGAATGTGACAAATTGTTGACTAAAATAATGTCAAGTTCATCATGTTCAGAGGTTTCTTTGAATACTAGCTGGTTTCTTTTCATAATAAAAATACATTTTTTTGATAGAAGATTTACTTATACTAGAATTGATTTTAATGTAAAATTTCGATATTGAAGAATGATTCAAAAGTTTTGATCCTCATCTGTAAATTAATGTTATCTATATGAATACATATATAGATAGTTGACTGATATATACAATTTTGTAGAGAAAGATTTAAGCTATAATCTGATAAGAAAATAATTTGAATACCATCAACATCATGAAAAGTTAGGGTTGCTTTATTTATCACGACTGTACATTCTACATCTTACATTTTTCGGGAAAAACAAAAATACACTTCTAATGTTTGAAAAGAAGTAATATTTTCTGGAGATTTTTATATGATTCAATAGTTCGACAAGCTGTACGAAAATACAAATATAAAAAAAAAACTGATCCTGTTTCCAACACAAAACTTCGAGAAAACTAGAACGACTAATAGAAGTCTTACATATATTGCACGAGAGAGTAAACTGAACTTTTAATGACTTTAGTTGATCTACTGTTGCGTCTGCTCATGTGGTTCGGAACGGTTATATTCAGCTTCAGTATGTCATAAAGCCCCCCCCCCCCAAAATAGACGGCCACCCTATATTAGAAGGCCACCCCCTGTATAAGGCCATGTCCGAGCAAAAGTTCAAACGCTCTATTAGAAGGCCATGTACTAATTAATTAATATATTCCAAAATTATCGAAATTTTCATAAATATTAATTAATAATTAAGGAAATATAACCGATTTTCTAATGTTTTTTTGCGAAATCCTTCCTTTCCTATCATAAATAGTACAGTTTTTACAAAAAATGGTAGTTTTTTCAGCAAAAAACACTTAAAAAGCAATAATTAAAGTTATTAATTAATTATTAATTTTTTAAATGATTTTAATTAAAAACTGGCCAAAAATTGACTCCCAATAGAAGGCCATCAAAAAAGTAGCGATGTGCCAAGACACTGTATAAGGGCATGCCCTTTTATTCTGGGAGGGGGTTTACTACATCTCGAAATATCCAGCATCAGTTGATCAATTAATGCTACTGAAAATTAACCATACTCTCTCGTGCAACATATGTGAGACTTTTATTCGTCTACCTAGTTTCCTTAATGTTTTGTATTGGAAACCGGATGAGAAACCCTTTTTCTTAATATTCATATTCTTGTAGAGCTTGTCGAACTCTATTGAACAATGTAAAAATATCTAGAAATCAATATGTCGCTGAACTTTAATCACTCAGAGATTACAAGAATATTTTTATTTTTATCGAAAAATGTACGAAGTAAAATACTTAGTCATACTTAATGGAGAAGTTATAACTATTCATGATCTCGATGAAATTCGAACTATTTTTTCTTATCAGATGATAGCTTTAATCTCGCTCTACAAAACTATGTATTTCAGCCAACTATCTACATATGCATTTTATATAAATAATGCCAATTTACAGAGAGGGATCAAAACTTCTGAACCATCCTTTATTTTATTTCGCAAGAAGAATCATGAACATTATGAATAAAATTGACTAGCGATTTTATATATATTTTGTCCAAAAAATTTTATATGTTATGGGTTATAGAAAAAAGAATAACATGATTGATCAATCATTTCAAGCGTAATACTGACTTTTTCAATAAAGCTTTAGTTAATCTTGAGACTAATTCATTCTATTTTGTTGCAAGCATGAGTCATCTACGGTTGCTGAGTATACAGATGATAATAAATAGAATATTGCTAATATCTGGTTGAATATGTTATTGGAAATTTCGATTAAGAATGGGATACAAAAGACTTCGAAGTTTGAACTATTATGTAAAAGTGTACAACACTAACTTTTGAAGTCATTTGAATCGAGAATGAATAAGGAATACGAAAACTTACAATTTTTTTTACTAATTGTACTAAGTTGTCATTTGAAATTTAAAGATCCTCCTCCTCCCCCCCCCCCCCTCAGAAAATCTAATTTTTCGAAGAAAAGTCGAAGTCGACATTTTATCATAGGAAGATGCACTGAAATCTTCTCTTTCAGAATATTTAAGGCATATTTCAAAATCAATTGATTTTGACGAACTTATCACCTAAAACTTGGCTTCTACTATCATATTTTTCGAGAAATCTTCACGATTTTCTTTACAAGTTGCTTAGTCTGCTTTCTCTTTGCATCAGCATTTCGTAAAGTTTTTTTATATTAATCACTACGAAACTATTATTACTTACGATTAAGATACATATTTATATCCTATCCTGAACACTGATATATAATTCAGATATGTTCTGCAAAAATCGATTTCTAAAACTTATTTAGCCTTTTTCTCGAAGCCAGTTTTTTTTTCGAGCATACCGTTTACGCGGACAAATCTTTCTTGATAACGAATCAATATAATAATGGTAATTTATTTTTTATTATATAGCAGACAGCTAGGGCTAGGTCGTAATAGAGCCTGATTTTTGAATTTCTCTTTTGCTGAAATAAAAAACTTAGATCTTTGATTTTTATTACCGATTATTTTGGTCACGGATTTAAGAATATTCCAAAAACTTTTTTTAAAAATTAAAAAAAGAAAAATTAAAAAATCGAGCTCTGTTACGACCTAGCCCTAAGAATACTCTACAATTTAAAATCGCTCCGACATACTTAACTAGTATCGTCATTTTGAAAACCTTGCCTGTGTAAAGAGTATTTTTGACCAATGAGCTGACTATAACTCGTCAGGGTCTTGCAGATTCGGGAAGATATTTTAACCATAAGCTATTCTAGTCAAGACTAGCATTCTCTGAAATTTTGGTTGAAATCGAATGACAAATAAAAAACTTTATTTGTGAGGGGGGGGGGGTCTCCTTTAAAATAAAGCTTTGAGAGCAGTATTACAGAACAAAAACAAATATACAGAGTGACGCAGGCCACTTCACCGAAAGAAATTGAATATTTTCGTTACGACTCAAGTAAACGAGCTTATTTTTTATCAATGATAGAAGCATGTTCAAGCTTTATATCCATAAAGATATGCCTAGAGAGACCCTTTATTAAATATCACTATTGACCTCAACAAAAAAATTTTACTTTTTCACAGATAGGAAAAAACAATATATGATAAAGAAAGGCCAGTTTATCAAGAAAAAATGTAGATGCTCACTCATATTTCTTTTCTTTATTATCAAATATATGTCATGGTTCTTTATTGAGATGAAAAGAAAAGAACATCAGCATATCACAATCAATTTTTTGTTTATATTCTTCAAAAAAAAACAGAACAATACTTTAGTGTAAATATTTAAATTGTTTTTTTTCTGTGTTAATACACATTTGACAGCAATTAGCTATAGAACGACAGATCGCTTGGCATAATCCGATATTATCGTCGAACAATGTAAATTCTTGTTCAATTAATGAATTCATATGATTTATATCGCGAGGCTTTTGAGCATAGATACAGTCTTTTAAAAAATCTCCATAGTAAGGGATCACATAGAGTTAAATCTGAAGATCATCATGGCCATTCAACAGTTCATCGACGACCAATTCAATGTAACAATATATTATGTAAATAAGGTGTTATTCACAAGTTCATTATATTGATGATATTTTATCTGGATAAACTGGCCTTTATTTATGATATATTATTTTTTTCTATCTATGAAAAAGTAAATTTTTTTTGTTGAGGTTAATAGTGATACTTAACAAAGGGTCTCTCTAGGCTTGTCTTTATGAATATAAAGCTTGAACATGTCCCTATAATCGATAAAAAAAATTAGCTCGTTTGCTCGAGCCGTAATGGAGACGACCATTTCTTTCGGTAAAATAACTTTTGCGCCACCTTGTAGTTACAACAGTGCAACAATAAAAAAAAGAATTCGGCAAAGTTTCTGTTGAAAAACCAATAACATTGTACATATAAACTAAACTGTACAAGTGAATTGTAACAGATTCAACATTGGTTTTTCCTTTATAAACATAAAAATTAAGTTTTATATGATGAAAAAACTTTGTTTTGTGAAATGAATTGCTGTTATATATCAATTCATCTTTGGTAATTATATAGTACTTTTCTTAATGCACGTTTATATCTGAATGCGCTTATATGCATATCTCTGTCCTGTCAGTCAATGCCCAAATGCATCGAGCCTTAATGAAAATTATTTATTTATGTATAAATAATATCAAACTTGAAAAAGAAGAAATAATATTATAGACTGATTATGAAAAATATAAATCTTTGAATTCCAAATCAAGCCGAAACTGTCACTCTTGACTCTTAATTAATATTCATAATACAAGAGAAAATAATGTTTCTTGCGAGCAACAACAAATATCGTTAAATTCTAGTCTTAGCTTTTTAGGTGTTTGTATTATAGACATATACAAAATAAAAATAGGAACAAACTTGATTTAAATCTTGAAGATATCCATTGTCAAATTTTGAAAATGATCAATGAAAAAAAATCAAGTAATGTTATCTTTATTTAAACTATTCATCGTATTATTCAAATCTAAAGATGAAAGAAACTCAATGATTTTACAAGAAAAAAATATGCGTAATTGTTTGTTATTTATAGCAACCAAAGAGAATGCAACTATATGGATTCAATTTCTCACATCTATGGAAACCAATTTCAAATCATTAAGATTACACATGAATATTGTCATGTTAAGTTTGATATTTCAAAAAACCCATGAATTAGGTACGATTAATATTCGATCAAAATGGGTTCGATATATAACATATGATACATAATAAATAATATGTGTTCAAAAAAAAAGTGATTTAATTCTATTTTTCGATGCCATCATATAATCATTTTTAAAAAAATTAACATGACGAGAGATCGATTTATTTCTAAATATTGTCTGCCTGCATAATGAGAACATGTTATAATGCAGAGTAATAAAAGGTAAGCAGTTTATTGTCACATCAGTCAATATAATCGAACTAAAAAATATAAAACAGTGCAGAATGGAAGGAAAAAAATCGAATTCTTGACGATCGTTCGTTCTCTTTCTCATTTGCTGTGTCACAATATAAATACGGGTTCATCCATTTCTTATTCTATGGTATACACATTTTTTGTTCGTCGATTTCATGTTTTTATATATAAAAGGTGGTCTGAATACTGTTCTTTCTTCAATATTCATTTTGAATCAAACTACATACACTTGTACATAGCCTACGTCTTACTCTTTCATTTGATTGGTGTACAATATTTTATTTTCACAGTAGTTTATCGAAAAAAAAATCCCTTAATTTATTAATTCAAATAATCATAACAACCACATAGTTGTTTTTTTTGTACCGCCAATCAAAAAAAACAAGTAAGTTGGTATGGGTTTTGTTTGACAACAGTATAATAATAAATATTCGTTTGTAAATATTTTTGCTACTCAATCTCAATGACACATCCGATATACTATTGAGGATATTAAGTTAGAAATTTAACTGTCTGTTTCTTTTACGTACTAATTAATTTCTGTGAGACAAAAAAGAAACATACATACATAGAAATACATAGAACATTCTATATATTTGATCAAAAATCAAGACTCCTTTGTATTTAAATATAATTATTATAAATCCAAAAAATTTGAGATTATGAAAAAAACTAGTATCAAATGACGACTATTCAGTATCTAAGACGAAATGAAGTTGTTATGGGTGAGTATTCACTTATCATATGGATGAAAAATACTTTTTTTATGATATCAAGACATTTGTAGAAGCAACAAGAGAGAGAAAGAGAGTGACTTTGCCATTTGATTTTAACTCTTCTTTTGTCACTGACAAATTATGTTATAATTCAACTGACATACGGATTATACAAGATTGTTTTAAGAACAACTCAAAAAGCAACAATTACTTCTCAATATAAGAAGATATTGTTCTTTTTTTCTGTAGTAGATCTTAAAAAGATTATTTCGTTCTGCTTGAAATCAATTCCAATCATTCCAATATAAGAAAAACAATGGTTTTCTTTGATTTGAAATTTACTATAGAGTAGAGTCAATTATATATTAAATTTATTTTTTTATTTGCTAAATGTTATTATAGGTTCTATAAAAATCATAAGGCAAGAAAGGCTTATTAAGATGGTTTTGATTAGAAGAAGAATACCTCTGCCTTTCAGCTACCTTGTGGCAGACTCAATAGTTCGATATCTTTCCCATAGCTAATACTAGTTGTAGCTCTGGACAGAAGATCGATCTCGCACAAAGTTCTTAAGCTCAATTGTTTGAACTTTCCATACACACTAATAAAACACATACTAGCCACAAGAGCAAGAGTATATCAGAACGTAGTCAGCCTACTATCGGACGAGTGATCCAAGATAAATAGCTGTTAGTGATTTATTCAAGGTCATTCTATGGCTGCCAGTACTGAAGATTACATACAGTACCTGATGGATATGTGTCAAACAATGTAGCTACTCAGCTATGGCGGCTTGGTATTGATTAGAGATGTTCAGAGTAAACTTTTTTTCGTTTCCTATACCCTAACTGAGAAAAAGACGACTATAAGACTTTGACTTCAGGACAGGATAAATGTAGGTTTGTATAGTTAGGCTCCCTTCATATAATGGGGTATGTACTATCAAGTTTCATTGCGTACTGTTGAGATATCAATAAAGGGTGCCACCTTTGCTGCGACCACAGTAGAATGCATTGAAGATGGCACTCTTTATTGATATCTCAACGGTACGCAATGGAACTTGATAATACTCATGGTGTTAGATGGAGGAAGTCTTTCTCTATAAATGTAACCATATCCCGTTCTGCGATCAAAAATTACTACGAAACTTATAGTCGCCTTTGCTCATCCCTACTCTAGACATCTCTGATATTGATTTCATTTAAGCTATACTATATGTACTAAAAACATCGCATTCTGTGTTACTATTCAAATTAAAAAGTTAAAAAGTAAATAATTCAACAAGAATCCTTAATCATGACTTGATATATGTGATATTTAAATAATCACTATCGACTATGAATGAGTAGCATCTTGGTTTCAATTTTTCGGATATATGATATCATGTTGTAAAAAAATGTTATTTGACCTTCTTTGATTTACTCTCTTTCGAGGATATCATCACAACTACTTGATTATTACTCGATCGTTTATATTACTAAATGGTGGAGTGTGGATGAAATATTATCGATGGGTCGATATCAACGACTGTACATATATATGTTGATCGGTTTTCTCGTTTGGTTTTTAATTTTTATTAGTCAAACTTTATATTTTTCATCATTTCCTATTCATCATTATTGTTGGTTTTCATCATGTAAAAATATTTTTCTATCATCTCGAATATCCAAAAAACAATCGAAAGTCACAGGTTCATATGATAAATCTCTTCTAACACGTATTCATCATCAACCACTTTTACAACAATATGAATCTCGTCATGTTAATTTCGTTCGTTTAGCTAAACCTATAACATCACCAAAAAAATATTTAATTTATACATGTAATCAACCATGTGGTGGTTGGGGTGATCGAACACGAAAAATTGTTGGTGCTTATTTATTATCATTAGTATTAAATCGTACTTTTATTATAAATATGACATGGCCTTGTCCAATAACACATTTATTAGAACCAAATTTTATACAATGGAATCAAATAATAAAAGATCTTTCAAAACGAACAAATCTTACAGTAAATAATCTTACTTCATCAGATAAAGATTATCGTGAAGTTTTACTATGGAAAAATATTGATATAATTTATTTTAAAGTTAAAGATTTAGCTTATTATTCATTATTATTATGGCGTGATGATTTTTATCGTATACTTCATTTACAATATGGTTTACATCGTTCAACATTATTTCTTCATACAGTATTCACATTAATATATGAATTATTATTTAAATTAAAATCTCATCCACAATCACATATGAATGAAATATCAGAAAAAATTCAATCAAAATCACTTTATTGTGCACATATACGTATTGGAAAAAATCCATCAAATCCAAATGATATTATTTTTCCTAAACGTGAACATATGAATACAAGTGTAATCAAATTTTTAAAAAATATATCGAAATTAAATGAATTAATATTTATTTCCTCAGATTCAGATGAAATTCAATTATATGCAAGAAAACAATTTCGTTCACGTTTATTAACAATTGAGGGTATTATACGACATATTGATCGTTCAGGAAGAAAATTAGCATGTGATGGACTTGAAAAAACTATCTTAGATTTTTATATGGTTTCACATTGTCATGCCATGATTATGAGTAAAAGTGCTTTTAGGTTAGTTTAATTTTCTTTAAATTTTTAAATTTTATTAGTATGTAAAAACTTTCATTTCTTCTAGTTTTTGGGCAAATATGCGCCGATTAATGCCTTATGAAAATTTATATTTATATTGTGATGGAATTAAAAAAATACGTGGTCCAAATGATTATGATCAATATCCTTATGGTCGATGTTAAGAAACAAAGTTTTGTTATTATATTATTAAATTCCTTTGTATGTTTTTATTCGTAATAAAACTTTATGATAATCTGGACATATAGTGGACCATTATGTTTGATAATAAGTAGTGAATAAATGTCCTATTAATATCGAAGCTATGTTTTTCTTTAAAAGAGACAATTTCATAAATTTCATCAGAAACAAATATATATATATATATACATATATGATTGATAATTATAATTTAAAAAATATTCTGACTTTGAGATATAATATATTAGTCAACAACTTCATTGTAATCATCATTATTATTCTTATCCATCATCAACACAAGATGCAACATGTGTTTTTAGTATACATATATATCGAGTGAGACATAATTATTGCATCATTTAGTATTTTACAAATGTCTCATCAGAGATCAATCGTATAATTTTGATTATTTTTTTAAACGATGTACTATGAAAAGCTCTGCAAAACATGTAAGAACAAATCCCTATTGACTGGTTCTGTTCGTATCTTCTATATTCAAAATGAATAGGTCACATGTTGGTGCTATGTCGTACTGTATTAAATATTTGGAAAATTTCTTTTTTTTGTTTTACAAATATCTCAACTTGAGAAATGTGACAACATCTTGACTTTTTTCAGAAGATGCACCGTCAAAGGTTCTACAACAATTGTATGAACAAGTTCCTATTGACTTGCTCTGATGACTTTTCTAGTTAGTTAAAATTAAAGATCTGCGTGATGTTGCTATCGAATGTTCAAAAATGTTTACGACATTTTTTATTTCAATTAAATCTCGGCTTACGAAAATACTAGAATCTTGATTTTCTTTTTAAAAGATGCGCTGTGAAAAGTTCTACAAAAGCTGTATGAACAATTTCCTATTGCAAAATAAAAAACAAAATCTTTCAAATATTTAATATGGTGGGACATAGCACCATCACGTGACCTATTCATTTTGAATATAGAAGACATCATCAGAACAAGTCAACAGGGATTTATTCTTACAGTTTTTGTAGAGCTTTTCATGGTGCATCTTTTAAAAAAGAATCAAAATTATACGATTGATTTCTGCTGAGATATATGCAATATACTAAAAGATGGAATCATTATGTCTCCCTCCGGTATATATATATATATCATGTGTGGCTCGATAAGTGGGCTTCCTTATATATATATATTAATATATTGTTGATCATTAACGATGGTATGTTAGCTTAATCATTTATATACCAGAATCATGCAGATGAAAGAAAGAGAATCAACAAAAGAATTATGGTTGCACAGATCAATGTCATATATATGTATGGAGAAAGGAAAAGTTGCTCCATCAAAGTGACATAGTTATATTGGGACGACGAATAAGATGATAATGCAGAATTTTTCTGCTTCTATATTAATTATGATTTCTTTCATCGATATTGGTATGTGTTGTTATAGTTTTTAAAAAAATATTGATAATTTAATGGAGAAAAAAAACCATACTATTAAATTATATCATCTAGTCTCATCGATATCGTGTTACAAATGTTTGTCAATTAATGGAAGTAATCCATCATGTGAAGATCCATTTCAAGGTGATGTAACGGGTAAATTATCACTTCTTTATACTCCATGTTTAACTAATTTACGTGGACGTAATGGTTTATTTCCTGCAACACATTGTATTAAACTAGTAGCCCGTTCTAGAGGTAAACTTTTTTTAAAATTAACTTAAGGATGCCGTTCTCCTTTTGTGACCAAAAACTTTTGTTTTTATCATTTTTAGTTTTTTATGGCCATAGTATAGTCTGAAATAGTGTCTATCGAATGAGTACATTTCACATTTACGTGACGAAACATTGTTTCGTGTTTTTACCAAACCAATTTTTTCATAGAAACCAGTGCAAAAACGTCCCCCCCCCCCCCGTTTTTCCAACCCAGGATGTCCAATCGAGTTGAAATTTTTTTGACATATACTATACGCTATTTAAGATGGACATTTGTGTTTTGAGTTCAAAAAATATTGTCCTACTGATTTTTGCTAGCTCATACAATAAAGACTCTATTCAAAAAAAAACATACGTTTTTTAGAGTGCCTTCGATATTTTAGCTTTTTTATTTAGAGAGCACAAAATTGAGAGACATCCACTCGAAACAGTGTCTAGTGTCTGTAAGAAAATTTTCAGCTCAATCGAACATAGCATTTCAGAGAAATGGAAAGGCGATTGTGTTCCCAGTATCTCATAGAAGACAGCATTCGAAAACTGAGTCTATGACAAGTTTTACTCTACCTGTTAAGGTAGTCTTAATTGAAATTCTTTTGATTATAAGAATAAATACTGTTTATTTATAGCACCTATTCCTATTCAATATATGTATCGAACGTGTGGCCGAGATGAAGCTGATGATAATGGAATAACTCGTTCTAGTCATTGTGGCTTTCTTAAACTTGATTGGATTGATAAAAATCAACGATTTCGAGGTTGTTTAAATATATGTGATAAAGATGCATGTAATCAAGCTTCTTATTCTATTTATTCAATATGGAAAATTATATATTGTTTTAGTATATTATTTATAATTTCATTCGAGAGTTTTATATAAATAAAATAGATATATAATATGTTGTAATCAATTGATGTAAATACAAAATTAATATTAAATAAAAACATGAAAATTTTCAAATATTCTTCTATTGATAGACATAGAGTCTAAGAAATTAGAGAGGCCAGATATTTGGCTTTTCATATTTATGAGTTAATAGAAAAGAACTATGACGAACAGAAATTAAACATCTTACCATATGAGTGATTTTGACGTTGAATGCACTATTTGACCGTAGCTGCATTTCTTTGTATTCATTGAACCGAATATGTCAGAATAAATAATGAAGTATTTATGTGACTTTATTCTATTATCATAGTTAAAAATAAACTTCATTTTCTATTACGTCAAAATTAATTATTAAAATAAATTTGTCTGCCTATTATAGTTCTAAAAAAAAAGCATTCTAAAAAAAAGATGTCCTCTCTCTATTTGAATTTATTGTGCACTTAATAAACATTTTAGATCAAATAGTTCTTTTTTTTCATAAAGAAATCAATCAAATTGCATACTATAAATAAAATAGAAGATTGCTGAACAAGTTTCTACTAAAGTTTAGATCGTGCAATTTAATAATAGAAGAAATGAATAGTTTTTAAAAAATCATTATTTCTTCAACTTCAATTATTCTCTATCGAATAGGAATATTTTCTAAGTATGATTATTTACTTTTTTTGAATCAAAATTTGAAAATGAAACAATTAAAATTAGAATTACTCACATATAAATCATACTAAAGTCAAATCTATATTTAATAGCTTCAGTGTAAAATTGACTCGTATATATCAAAGACTCTTGTAAATTGATAAAAGTTTTTGTCAATTAGAGATTTAAACATATATGATTATATTGATATTGCTTAAAATTCTAATCTAATAGTTATCAGATCATTAATTTAAATCTGTTGCATCATTATGCTCGACTCTTTAATATATCGAATTAGAATTAGCAATTGAGAATTTAAGAGAACATTGAATGCTAATTTATATATCATATTCGTGGTTTATCATAAATGATATATTTAGATGAATTTCAAGGAAATAAATAAAAATTGTCTCCTTTCAAAGAATGCTGATAACATTCTCATATATGGTAAAACATATAACTAATGAAAATTTTTCTTTTTATTTAGCTTGATCAGTTCTTATATTGATTTGTATATATAATTTGTTTTTGATTATTATCTGTAAAGACGTTTAGAAGTATTCTTGTTGATTATAATAACTGGTAATTGATATATAAAATTTTCTTAATGCTTTTTTGAATATTTCCATTACAGTCTCATTATGTTTATGACTAAAATCTGATTTATTTGTCAATCTTAACCAAAGAAAATGATTTTCATTAGAAGGAAAGTTTATAAATCATGAGAATGTTCCCAAAAACAAAAATAAAATAGTTCAAAATCTTAAATATATGTTTGATCTGTACATTAATTTGTCTTAAAAATTAGAATTTTCATATTTTTTAAAAATATAATTAATTGTACAAGAATATAGTTCGTCATCTAAAAGTTTTTATTAGATGTAATAGTTCTCGTCTATATAATGGTGTTCCAAGTGTATATATGTAAAAACTAGAACAATAATTTAAATTACCAAGAAGAACAGTAAATTTAACGAATATAGCCAATAGCGGACTACTGTTATATTTATAAATATATTGTAAGAAAACAATAGCAAAAGGAAGAGTACATAGTATATTAGTTGTAACATAGAGAAAAAGGACTTTTATTAATTGATAATCTCGATAACGAAGACGTTTATGTGATGAATGTATATTTAATCCATATCGATGTTGTTGTTTTTGTCTACGACGATATAATAAAAGTAACGTACAACCACAAAATATTGACATTAATATTGGTGGTAAAAGAGAATGAAACATTAGAAGAAAATAAGCAAAAAATTGGAAATAAAATATATTGATTGGTATACACATTGAATGAATGATATTAAATTGAAACAGAATATGACCATGAATAACAAATATTAATATAATTATAATTTGTCTTATTTGACGAGCCATATTTACAGTTGCTATATGTCTTAATTGAATATGTCTTGAAGTTCGACATAAACGATCAAAACATCCCAAAACAAGAAAATATGGTGATATGGCATATAAACAATACGTAGTATATGTTTGAATTTTACAATACCATAAATATTTTATTGTTAAATCGAAATGAAATTGATCATTAAGCCATTGTGATAATACAATAATATATAAAACAAGAAGATCATTTATTGATAATGAACGAAAATAAAGTGAACATGATGCTGTTCGTAATGATTTTCTTCGATGAAATAATATTTGATTTAGTAAAGACCCAACTGTTCCAAATAGAATTATTATTGGTTGAATATAAAAACTCCATTGAGTATAAATATCTTCATTCATTTTTAGGCGTTTCTCTTTGTGTGTATTTCTTATTAATATTACAAACTATGATATGTTGAATATATTGTAATTTCTATCATGTAATATGCTGAATAAGATAAACAAAGTGCTTGTATCAAAGTATTTTCATAATTCTTACCATAAAGAAAAAAAATAAAAGAAATGAGAAAAATCATGAACGAGAAAGTTTCAAACACATAAATAACTAATGAACGCATCTTACAATTGACAGACGATTTGATCGTATATGAATATTTGATTTACTAATTTTTATTTTTACGTAAAAGTATTTCATTATGTAGAGATGACATTGAAATGAATGAACAATTGGTTGTCTTTTGTTTTTGATTGAAAAAAGAAAAATTTAATAAGTTTTTTCTGTCTATTATAATCTAATTATACAAAGTCTTGTATAATTAATGGATAAATTGATCTAGATTAAGAGTTTTTCTCGATACTGATATCAAGAAAAGAATTGTGTAAAATTAATAGACAAAGATAATATATATATGAGAGAATAATAGGCTTTATAAGTGGAAATTGTATACGGTTCTTTCTTTATTATTATGAATATTTATTCTTTTAAAATAGTACAAAATAAATTGAATATCATACAGTATGTACCAAAAGTTCGACCAAAAAAGAAACATGAATATCTCTTTAATCATTCAAGCGATTTTTATACGCGACTTTTATCATTTCATTCCATATTGATTGAAGTTTTATTTCTCATGAATTTGTCTCTAATCAGTGTATAAAATGATTACTTATAAATGCAATACACAAACGTCTCATTTTTGAAAATATCAGTAAAAACATCATGTGAAATTTAGTTTGAATTCTTTTTGGTCTTATTATAGATTTTCATTTCTAACTGAACTAGATCTTTGACAAGTGTCTTACGAAAAATTATTCTCTATATGTTGTTTTCATAAAAACATGTCGAGTTACATCAGCTCAGCTGACCATGATACCCATTGGAATGAAAATTGCCTCTGCTATTGCAATTGTTTGAAATGTTCTCTAGAAATTGACAGTCTTTGAGACTAGAATGAGCAGGAACTCCATCTTTGTGAAATAATATGGAGTTCATCTAGCATAATCTTCTTACTTCTGGACTAAAACAAGGCTTAAAGCATAATAAAATATTTTTCTCCATTGATAATGTTACCCAGAAAATATTGTCCAAACACTCGATTTTCTAATATCACACAAGAAATATTGCCTTTTCAAGATTGTATAATAATTTCAATAGTTCCGTGCGTCCATGACGTCTGTTGAAAATCTCGTTAAGTTGAAAATGAGAGTACACAACAAGATCAAAACGATTTCAAACTAAATTTTATATGATGTTAATACAAATATTTTCAAAAATGAGAGGGTTATGTATTGCATTTACAGGTGATCATTTTGTGAACTTATTAGTGACAAATTTACGTGACTTAAAACTCCAATGAATATGAAATGAAACTATAAAAACCTTACGAAAACTACTTAAATGGTTAAAGAGATATTCACGTTTCTTTTTTGATCGCACTTTTGGAACACACTGTATAAATAATTACATTTGAGTGGCTCTGTTGAATGATTTTTATTTAAACATTATAAATCCAAACTGTGCCAAGAAAATAACTCATTGTTTTTTGAATTAGTCCAAATACAATTTCTTGTTATTCAAAGATTAATTTTCTTGTTATTGAGATATATTCGAATTATTCATCTTTTTCTCTTCAGTAAAAAAAACGGAAGATCAATTTCATTAATATGTTAATTTAGATGCTAAGTAACCTTTCCCTTTTTTCTTTAATACAAAGGAAAATAAAATATTTTTTTTTCCAAACTATCTAGAAACTAATTCAAAAGAGTTTATTCATGTTTTCAATCTGTTTATACTATACATAGACGACATCCTGCAGTTTACTGGACGGATCCCAATTGCGATGAATAAAACAATTATCAACAAACCACCATTGATTAAATATTAACAATAGATGTTTGTCAAGAGTATATGAATAATGTATCACATGAACTCAAGTACTATCGACAAATGGATTTTTACTAGCTAACCTTTGTCAGGCATAGAAAAACTAAGAAATAGAAAAACAGAGTAATAATGTACATTGTTAACTGCTAAGTTCCACTCAATATATTACAATAGAATAATCGTTTCTGACTTCATTGACGCATGCAATATAGAATAAATACGAATGAAGATCGGATTAGAAGCTTTATTTTATTATATGTGGTCCTGATAATGTTATCAGTATGATATACTATTCAAATAATCTATAATAGATCTTATAAAGTGGAGTTATTATCATATATTAAATATATCTTTGAGAAAACAATGTCTTAGCATTCACGTTAAAAGTTCCATGATTATGTAATTATACTCATAATTACAGAATTGTAGTTGATGCATAACAGCTTTTATCTAGAAATGATTAGATAATTAGTATCTTTATGGAAAAAGACTTGTTCCTAAAAAATGTAGATTAATTGAGATCTTTAAAACCATACAACTATCTATTGTTAAAATGAGAGATACAAATCAATATTTTTTTATGTGGGCAATATGAATTGATCCTCTTATATTTAACAGTCATGTAGGAAAATCAAAGGATCCGTAAAAGTCTAGAGAATTGTTAGAGGTGTGAATGTGGATGTGTGGATGAAGAGACAGCACAGTTCACACCCACATATATCTGCTGACACTTCCTTCGTGAGTAGACAAGTTGTTTGCTTAATAATCATACAACTTCAGAGATCAACTGCTGTATTTTTTTTTAATGAGATTAAACGGAAATGATGTTATATTGGTAGATCGTTTATACTTATTGATTAAAGAGTATTGATACAGATTCAATGAGCTCAATGCTGAGCGTGTTAGAACGAAGGACAACAGCAATTTTTTCTTTTTAAAAATTTTCAAATGTCAAAGCATTTGCAACACCCATATACATTAACTAGACTATGAGCAGCTATTATATTAAGGATGAATCCCAAACGCAATATTTAGAAACTATCTGTCTTAAGATCAATTCACACTTTCTTCTGCAAAATCTTGCTTTTATGAATAATAACATAATTTGTTTCGGTAATTATCAGTTTTTTATTAATTTTCTACAATATTGTTAGCGATCAAAGAAATTTTTAGAAATAACTATCTAACATTCAATAAAGCAGATTAAAAATATATTTATATCTGTTTCGCCTTGATCATCCCATCGTAGCGTTTGTTATCATGGTGATATTATGAACAAATGTCAACTGAGTAGTAATGTGGAAGATAGGTTCCAGGAACGTGATTGTTACAAAAAAAATCACCAGGATGCCAATTATTTTAAGTCCAATGCCTGCTTTAATCATATCTATAATTCTTACATGGCCACTGGAAAATATCATGGTATTCGGTGGAGTAGCTAGGGACAATGATTTATTGTTGATTCGAATAAAAATGAAACTGAACAACTTACCGATTGGTAACATGAACGAGAGTGATACAGCCATGCACGATGACATAATAAGATAAGCTGGATGAACGTGAACCGTACGAGACTTTAGGAAAAAAAAGAAGATAAACAAGGCCGAATGACAGACAAAGAGCCAGCAAAACGTCTTACAACACTATCAAGAACAGGAAATAAGATGCTAGCACACGCAATATTGCTTGTAAATTCAGTAAAAATAGCACTGATGACGATAACAACAAAAATGATGAGTTCTTTAGATGCTCCAACAATAATATGAAGAAAACAGGCAATAGTTGTCGATAGATTCGATGCCTATAAAAACAATTACATATAATGGAAATATTCTTCATGTAAAATTAGACCTTGAATCCATCGGCAATAGCCAATCCTGCACCTTGTAACATGAATACACCCCACGGAAATGATTTCGATAGTTGATCCCATTGAAGAATCGGATTATATTTCCAATTTTCTAATCAAGATAGATAGTTTTCTATTTCAGAATGAGTTTTTAAATACTTTGAAATGGATTTTGATCAGGTAATATTAATGGCAACGAACCGATGAATATGGCAATTGTTCCATCTGTAATATAACTTAAACAAGAACATCAATTGTTCTTTTCAACTGAAATTCTGACTTACTCCTCTCGAAATATGATTTGCCATCCAGGTCTACTTGAAAAGTCACGTGTCACCCATAGAACGATTAGGATAATGAAAAGAATAGTAACAATGCGTTCGCGCCAGTTATATGGGCCTAAGTCACGGTATTGCCTTTTGAGAATAACTTTCAAATGTTTCTCTGAGTTTTGCACAGTCAAATTGGTCTTCCATTGAAAGAGTCTACACATATGTATGTAGATGAGAATAATAACAACGAGTATGATTCTATGAGTAAATAGTGGAAAGCTGGAATTCAACGGAATCTAAAGGAATTCCAGACTTGATAAAATTCCAGGATTCTGCTATTTACCCTTGATATGATTGTAAACTTACTCTTTGCGATTGTACAAGATTTGTAACCATAACCAGCAGATTATAAGCATAGTAACACCAATTGGTAAGCCGAACAAGAAAAAGTTGGCAAATGAAACTTTGAAGACATAGCTTCCAGATCCGTAGAATCTAGATCGATTAATAGAAATTAATAAAACACAAAACTTTTTACCTAATAAAGTACTCACTGATCAATAAATCCTTTGGTAAAAATATTTGTGCCAGTTCCGACTAGTGTTATCAGACCGCCTATAGCAGAACTGTAAGCCACAGAGATAAGAAAGCCTTTAAACAGACAATGAGATAGATCATGTATCGATCTAGTTCGACAAATTTATATAGTTTATTTCGTACCACTCTTAAGTTGTCTATAGTCGAGTTGAGTTATGGATAAACGATTATCCGTCGTATTGAAATCAACTGTTTCTTGGTTGTTTAATGGTGCAAGTCTACGAATCCATGATAATATATTAACTGTAGTAAATAAGACAGAGCCGTTCGTGACCAGTTCGATCGCTACCAGAGTGTGGGTAAAAGTATATAGTCATTCGCGCTCACCTATCTACTCTTCACAAGATGACCTCAATTGTAATAGTTTGTAAAAAAATTCATAATTTTTAGATATTGAATTATTGAGATGTGAATTTTTTTTTACTATTGAGGAGCTATACGATAGATCTTGCAAAAAACATAATATTATTTTGCAAAAGTCATATATCGAAAATGTAATATCAAAAAATTTATACAACTCTTTCTACAAATGATTTCAATTGATGTCTTGTTGTGTAAAAAATTTTAAGTCAAAATTCAAAATTTTGATATTTACTGGACAACAGGTCATACAAAGAAAATCTAGCAAAAAAAATCAATATATCAACTCCTACGTACAAAGTACTCAAATCCAGATAGACTTTTTTTATCATTCATCTGAGTCTATCTAATGACAATACTCTCGAGTGAAGAGCAATTTTACATTCGGAGAGAGCCTCTCATGAGTCAAGTTGTTATGTATTATCGGCAAAAAATAATCTCTGCAGTTAAACTGATCTCATGTGTTGATAAAATATCTTTTTTTCGAAGGAGCTTAGATTAAAGCCCGAAAACTTACTCAATCATCAATTCATCGAGATTTATATCAATATTATCCCGTGAAGATGATTGCTTTGCGTTTTCTTCTATGATCGTTGTCTTCAAATCAAGGTCGACTAAAGATTAAATAGAACAATTATTCTAATGATAATTAAAATGAAAGTCATTTATTACCTGGTGTAACTGCTGTTACGATTTCTTTCAATCGTTGTTCGATTTCTGGTGTTTGCTGTTGCTGCTGTTGTTGAATTTGTTTTTGATAATTTTCAACTTCATCAATAATAGCAATTGCTGCCGGTATCATAATACTGGTAGCGGCCGAATTATTAATCCACATACTCAAGAAAGCTGTGACACTCATTAATCCAGCCATACTCCTATTCGAAAGGATAGAGCTTTTATTTATACAGTCAAAAAAAACAATAGATCACGAACAATTTAGTCGATGAACCAACAATACTGAGTACGAAGAACGCTAATCGTCGATGAAGATGAACATGATCCATTGCATGAGCTAGCATCATACTGCCAACCAGCAATGTTGTAATATCCTAAAAACAAATTATTAACATTTTATGTTAAAATGAAAGACAGAAAAATGATTCTCTCACTTTGAAATAGTTCTGGCAGATTATTTCACCGGGTAGAATGCCAGCCATAGGAAAGAATGCAAGTGGCAATAATGAAGTTACTGCATATGGCATCGCTTCAGTCACCCAATAGACGGTGAGAAGCAATACAATGTAAGCACATCTTGCTTGCTATAGAAAACAATAACAATATTTACAATTCTGTTCACTAGATAACACATGTTCAGTTCTTACAATAGTTCTAACAATAAGAGGAAGTGGAAGAAGTATGAGTGGAGTGAGCATAATGATCAACACACGCCACCAACACCTGAGCTTGGAAAGCATTTCTCTACAACAAATTATCGTTATGGTTATGCATATGTATGAAAATAAAGATGTTTTTTTTATTATGCAATGTGATTTGCTGAATTTTGTTTTCTGATGCATCATTTATACGAATCATGACCGATGACATATCGATGAGTCAATAGTTGATAGTACCTCTTGCTCTACTCGTAAAGATTATATTGTTTCATTCATATAACATCGATTCAAGGCAACGTCGTACTCTGACTATATGAGGCTTACTAATGGATGTGTGGAGACAGAGAAGTAGCCTTTTACCTGGACAACTTAATTGATATGCTTTTATTTCCTTTCTGCACTATAACATACAGAACATGGCGCAAGTTGAATGAGTAAATATAAGTAGCAATAATATAACCGATTGCACAACATTATTCTACGAGTTTTGAGTGCGTATAAAAAAAAATCATACGAAAAAAAAAGCGCTCGATCACATGTTCGACAGAGAAAAAAGCGCTCGATCACATGTTCGAGAGAGAAAAAAGTACGTATGTGGACATATATAGAAACATAATGGTAATAAAAATATGTCATACACACACTATCATAGGTGAAAAGTTATCATTGTTACGCTTGAGAAATCGCTTGAATTAATCGTCTTCACCATAATTACTGCGCAATAATATTCATACTGATTCATAGTCTTCATCGCAGTATGCTTAGTGTTCAGTACTTTTGTTGCAAAAGAGCTGCATTTTCGTAAAATTGTGTTGCACCATGCCGTATTTTTCATTTTGTTGATAGTAGAAAAAATGAACCTGAGTCAGTATAGATTAGTACAGACCGGTAATTTACTGATATAATGTTTCAATGTTTGTTCTTTTTTTTGTTATACTTTTGTTAGAGTTCCTTTTCTTTTCTTTCTTTCCTGTTTGCATTTAGATTATATATGTATATATATATGCCTGAATGTACACGCGCATTCTTTATTTCATAAGGAGTGAACTAAGTACAAAACTTAAACTATAAAGTTATATATGCATAGAAAGACCGAATGAGAAGAAAGAAAGATGAAACGAAGATAGATGATACTACAAGATAGGAAATATGTATACATGCAACATCACTGTAACATACTCTATATTGGACAAAAAAACGTGTCCTATCAACAGTTTTATAACAACATAAACATATAACGAGATGTAATATACAGGATGTCCCGAAATAAGATTTCAACCACAATTAAAACATCCGGTTGGACGTTTGTAAAAACAATCAATTGTTCAATAATTTTGTCGACTACAAGCTTTGCAAAAATTAAGTTGTTGTGATGTTAATTGATTATTAATAGTTCTATTTTTAAATGTTTTTTGTTGTGAGCTAATCTGGATTTGTTTAGTAGGTATAGATGTTGATTGAGGTACAGATTGATGAGCCGAGTTCCGTTTAAGAACGGATCTCTGTGTTGATAATGAATATGAAGGAGGTTTATTTTGTTTTATAAATTGATAATATTGTTTTAGCTGTTTAATCATAGATGTTAATGAAGGAATTTGTGAATGATTAATTGCAAAATTAGGTTGTTCGGATTCTATTGATAATTGACGAGATTTTTCAACAGTATTATATAAATCTTGCTCAATTTTAGTGTATTTTAAAAATTCATTTAATGTATTTATACATGATTCATGTAGAGAAATTTTTTTCTAAAATCAGGATTAATTCCATTCATTAAATGTTGAATAATAATTGAGTTAGACATAGTTTGACTAATTTCTCGGCATAGATTAATAACATCATCAATATAAGATGCAACAGATTCATCATGTAAATGTGTTCGTTGTCGTGATTTATCAAACTTTTTCTGAATTATTGTTGTTGAAAAATAACGATTCTGAAATTGTATTTCGAAATCTGACCATCTCTTAAAATTGTGTTCATTATTATCGAACCATAATCCAGCTGATTGTTTTAATGTACCACGAACAATTTCAAAAATTTCATGATTACCTGATTTATCATTAACTTTCGTAATATTCTTAATATGTTTTAAAAAATGTTCGATATCCTCAGATGGATGTCCAGAGAAATTTGGTAAATCATGGAATCAAACTTTTGCTAATAATGTTGGATTAGTCATTATGCTTGTATTTAAATTTAATGTTGAATTTATAAGTGGATTAACTTATGATAATATACGAGATGATGGATTAATAATAATTGTATATGGTAATAGTTTCTTATTGTTTTTCTTAACTTGAAATCCTGCTTCAGTAGCCATTGTGAATATATGTTAATTATAATATTTAACATCAAGATAAACGAATAAGTAATGAATCAATGAAATTCAAGAAAAAGAATACACGAACGAAATTCTTCTTAGAATCTCTGTTTAGAATTGTGAAAGCAATTATAAGTCTAGAATTAGTTTTAATTTGATTCTCACTCCTTTTAGTTTAAACTTTTGGTTCTAGCAAAAAGAAATGCAATACGAATTTCTTGTTTGAAAATCCAAAGAAACGGTGTACTCGAAAGTATACCTTATGTTTATAAATAAATCATAATATAAAATAGAAAGGATTTGCTCGCCTATGAATGAAAAAATAATTTTTATATGTATAAGGCAAAATAAATAATTCAATCGTGAAGAAATAATTCTAGTCTTTTATTTTCTTTAAAAGGTCCTGTATTTAATTGATCTCAAGTCTCTTTGTAAAGAGGCGTTGATATGATATGTACATATTCGGGTGTCAAATCAATAGAGGCTCTAATTAATATAAGATGTAGAATAATTCAATCGAATAATAATCTAATTCGTATTTATTTATATTGATGTTATCTTGCAGGGTCACCAATTGTTAGTTTCGTTTCGTTTCTTTTCTTTTATTTATTATATATATATTAGATGTTATATGTGCTGATATATATGCACAATCTTTTATGTTAAAACAAGAAAGACAGCACAAACATAACATACAGGGTGTCCGGAAATTCATTTACCAAAAAGAAAATTCAATATCTTCATTACGGATCGAGCAAACGAGCTGATATTTTTGTCAATGATAGAGGCATTCTCAAAGTTTATATCTATAAAGACATGCCTAGAGAGATCCTTTTATATGTATTACTATTGACCTCAACAAAAGAATTTTACTTTTTCACAGATAGAGAAAAAAAACAGTATACTTAACAAAGGGTCTTCCTAGGCTTGTCTTTATGAATATAAAGTTTGAACGTACCTCTATCATTCATAAAAAAATCAGCTCGTTTGCCCGAGCTGTAATGGAAATAATCAATTTTTTTTTGGCAAAATGACGTTTGCTCCACTCTGTATATTGTTTTTTTCTCCATCTGTGAAAAAGTAAAATTCTTTTGTTGAGGTCAATAGTAATACATATAAAAGGATCTCTCTAGGCATGTCTTTATAGATATAAACTTTGAGAATGCCTCTATCATTGACAAAAATATCAGCTCGTTTGCTCGATTCGTAATGAAGATATTGAATTTTCTTTTTGGTAAATGAATTTCCGAACATCCTGTGGATAATATGTATAAGAAGAACGAAAAGAGAAGATAGCAATAGAGATCAAAAGAAGATGAAAGAGAATAGAGGATAACACTAAAGAATGATTATGATAATGTGCGACATCACCGTAACAAGCGTGCCGCGAAACTTTCGATGAAAAAAGTTCAATACGAGAAGATGCACAAATGTTATAACTACCTGTTAATATTTATGCATATTGTTTTCTCTAGTCCTCCAGCGAAATATACAACTTAGACGAAGCTGTCATTTCTTTTTTAAACTTCACTGCTTCTAGCGAAGAGCGAAGGAGTAATCAAAATAAACAAAAGCATATCGTGATTTTCCGAACAAAGAAACATCATTTCATCAGCAAAAAACAATTCAGATACATTTTGAAGTACCCTAGTGCAACATCTTGTAAGCAAGATCTTGGTCAAGATAAAAGGTACAGAAAAGTGAGTAGATCTTGAAAATTTAGGTATAAGATAATCACATCATCTTGTACCAAGATCTGTAACTGGACCTTAGGCACAGATTTATAAAATCTTAGCTCAAATATTCATGATTCAAAATGATCACTAAAATTCATTTATGGATACCTCGGAATGCTTCTGAAATAGCCTATCTGATGCAAGTTTTGATGCTGAAACTGAATTTGAAGTCAGATTTCTTCTACAAACACAAGTAGTCAATTTAATAGTCAACGGTCAATTGAAAAAACTTTCGAAATCATCGGCTTCATGAACACTTTTCAACGGAGATTGTTTTGTTGAGTGATTCGGCACAATCTAACTCAAAGAAGTAGCAAAAAAATTTTTTTAAATATTATTGAATCAAGATCTTTCGCAAGATTTCAAGATCTTGGGTACAGGATGCACGTTATTTTAGAATAATCGAATCGGGTGAATTATTTATACCCAAGATCTTATCACACAGATCTTGGCTCAAGATAATTAGATTATTTTGTATCCAAATTTTCAAGATCTACTCACATTTCTGTACTTTGTATCATGCCCAAGATCTTGCTTACAAGATATTTCACTAGAATATGTTTCCGAATTCTTTTCTTCTGTTAAAACTTAATTATCGAAAATATATTTTTATCTCAGATATTAAATGTTTTCTACTCTAACCTTCATTTTTAGTGCGCAATACGAAACTAGAATCATACATATGTACTATCAGACTTTTGAAAGTATTGTTGGGTACTTCTTGAATTTCTTATCATTATTTATTCTTTATCGATTTTCTCACTTGAATTACCACTAATCATAAAAATAAAGCTCATTGAAATACATTAAAAAAGAAAAACAACTTCAAATCAATTCATAACTCTTGCATGTAACAACATAGAGATTTTTTAGTCAAAAATATAATTTAAGTTTCTAAACTCGAATACATTTTAATATTAGCTAAAATTTATTCCTGATCAACAGGAAATTAAAGAAAGATAGATACTTTGTAATCTTCATACGACAGTTTTCATATTCAAAGTCGTGTTTCAATAATTCGAACATCATTATCGTTATCTAGTTTAGGTAATTCCATGTGTAATACTAATAGACTAGCATATTTATATTCTCTGTTGCGTCGATGGAAATCATGAATATCTTTCAAAAATCTTTTACTTCTCAGTAAAGCTCCTGGATGTTCATTTTTCGCTTGTGCATGATAATATTCAAGTATAGAACCATCTCTACGTGGTATAGAATCGTGAAATTCTGGTATTTGATCAATAAGATATTCAACAAATGTTCGACAG